CATTGATTTCTTCATTTGTGGATCCGGTTAAACGACAATATACCGTTGAGACGGTAAGACACGATGCAATAGGTACGTCTCGAGCAATTACGTGTACAAATAACGCGCATGCAATGTAATTAATATACAAATATGTACATTAACGCACATGTCGCATTCGTCGCTAGCGTGTGCAACGTGATCTGTGCGAACGAGTAAGAAACACAATGTGGCACTAGGACACGATCAATTTTTCAGCCTCGGTCGGCAGTGATGCGAAGGTTGAATTTTTCCACACCACCTCGGTTGATTCTTCATCATCGGAATCACCACGTAATCGGATTCGCGATTTGCGATGATAAGTCGGGATAAGTTGTGATTATCACAGGTGGTGTTCTTCGCGCGCAGAACAAACAAAAAAAGATTCGACGAATTTGCATCTCGTCGATCGAGAAGTAAAAAAAACTTTTCACCCCCGGCTCTCCAACCCTACGCATGCGTTGCGAGCCCCCACGCATGATTTCCGCCATCTGCTGTCTGACAGACAGTACACAAGAGCGAAACATACAGAACGTGCACACAGCGGTGAAGTCGGGCCAGTGTATCTTTCCTCTTTCGTCGGGACGGTTCGTTACGTAGCGGGAAGGTAAGTCGGTTGAAGGTGGTGGACAACATTTTTATGAGAGAGTTTGGCGCGGCGCGAAGTGTGTGACTGCGGAAGAAATCGAAAATTTGTCCCGTTCTCTCCGAGTCGCTTCGGATGAGTTTATTTTTCGGCGCAAAAAAATGTAACCGGCGAAATTTCCGCGTTTCGACTCGGTTACTTCCTCGGATAATTTGTTATTGTTATACGACAGCGGCGCGCTTTTGTCACGAAACAAATAGTTTGCTAGAATAGCGAGAAGATTAGTTTCTATATGGCCAGCAAAAAAAAAGTAATTTGCTAAGCCTATCGAATTTTATGGTCTTGTCGACAAAACGTTTCTAGTCGATAAAATAAAACAATTCGGTGGACTCAACAAATTTTTCTTGCTGATCGTGCAGCAACCAATCTTGCTGTTATAATTGATAATTGAAAAACTTTTTTTTTCGTAAACGTCTCAGACTCGTCGAGCGAGAACGCGTTTGTTCATATGCAAAACTAGAAGCACTTGAAGTATGAGTTATTTTACGTGTGCATTAAAAAAAAAATAATTGGAGCAAGCTATTGCAACAATCTTGACTAACAAAAGTTAACTCACACAATGTGTACAATTTAATGTAATGCGTGCTTGTACATACCAATATTCTATGTTACGTGTGTTATGTTTTGTCTTCTCATTTTTAAGAAAAGCTAGATGTTATGTGTTCTTTTGGACATTTTAGTACCATAATTAACTATTAATTTGCACTATAAAAGATATGTATAAAAAGATGTGTTATGTGTGTTTGTAAATTAATTATATGGTTAAATAACATGTGTTTATGTTTTCTCAATATTGACTTATTTTTCTAAAATTTTAATGTGTTATACAATTTAAGAGAGAGAGAGAGAGAGAAGAAAAGTAAATCTAAAAATAGTTATTTAAATCGATAATATTGAATATTAATATTAAATAATTTTAAAAAGCCTTTATATAAATAAATATTTAATACATATATATGTATATATACATAATGATATTATATATAATATATATACAAAATAAAATAAAAACGTAAATATTTTTATAAATGCAGAATGGAAAACAAAACCAAATAACAAATTAATTACACAGATGAGCATTGAGAAATTTGGCTTACTAGAAATATAATAGAAATATAATAGAAATATACTTATATATATATATATATATATATATATATATATAATGCCAATATAAAAATCAATTAAGATTCAATTGTAAAAAAACATTTATTCTTTTCGCAGTAACATCGATTAACAAGGCAAATGAAGTTAAACTAAATAAAACCATTAAAATTAATTAATCTTACCAACTTTGATTTAATTTATAACATATGACATGTTCTTTCCTTTTTTGTTTGCTTACTATATGAAAGAGTACGCACATATTTAACTGTTTTAAACGCAAAATATATAAATGGTAATAAATGTGGAAAGACAACGGCACGGAAAGCCGAAGATTCCAGGTCCGATTCCTGGCCGAGGTGTTTTTTTTCACATTTTTAAAACTGGTTAGGGAAATATACTGGTGTTTTGTTCACAGTATTTTTAAAACTGGTTAGAGAGTTCTCTCATATGCGTGATGCAAATAAGCATCCTATATGAATTTAAAAAATTGAAATTTAAAAATTCATATGGCTCTTATTGTCGTTTATTTCGCGTTAGAAACTTCACAGTCTAAGATTCTTTATTAATGGTTAAATGTTTTACTCGTTTAAGCGATGTAAAATTCGATGTGAGAACATTGTTGATTAATAATTTTTTGTATCTCAGCAAGATATGATTCACAACTGCATGCGCACACAGGGATACGCACACATTCGTACACGTAAAAATCGTAACTTCTAACACGGGCGACCGATCGATATTTGGAGCGTCGATCGACCGCTTTCCGAGTTGTACCACGTGCAACGACGGCGTGTCATAACGTTGTGTTGCTCTTTTCAAAGAGCGTGATTATCCGCGCACAGTTATAGGACAGTGTGTCAAAAAATCTCATGGGAGACTGAAGGAGCCATAAAGACACCGTAAGAAAAAAAAGCGCGCATTTGCGTTTTCGAGAAATGAGCGATCATTTACGAAGAGCGTGTAAATCCAGGAGTGGGTGCGTATCGATCATTTTGTCGTTTTTTTCTTCTATAAAGTTTTCGTTCAAATATATGAAGGTGTAATAATAATTTGAGTGACTTGGTGACCGAATTGGGAAGGCGATCGCACGGAAAGCAAAAGATTTCCAGGTTCGACTCCTGGCCGAGATGTTTTTTTCGCAAGTTTTAATAGTTAGTAGATAGGGGGGAAAAACAGGTGTTTCTCATATATGTATATACGCAAATCCAGCTTTCTGTATGAATTAAAAAATTGAATTTTTAATTCAAAATTCAGTTGTAAAAATTTACACTGAAATAATATTTATATATTTGTCTCGCACGAACATGCAGCGCTCTTTGATTTAATGTTAGTTTAAAATGAGTGAAGACAGAGAAATTGGAAAATTATCCTATTCGAAATTTATTTCTACGCTGTTGTGTTATCAACAGGTGTTTTATTTAAAAAAAAAAAAAAAAAATAATGATCTAAAGCTGGCTCATTATTATACGTTGTTGCAGCTCGCCATTTGCGATATTGATAACTTCAGTATTGCTCAAAATGTTTTTAATTAAAGTATATATTTGTAGATTCGCGAAAATCAATTCATAGCTAACAGCATGAGGGAAAGAGGCAGCAGAAACGTTATTACATTGCGTACAACATTGTGCGTTAACTGTCGATTAATTTTTTTACAACGCGATATTTTACGATGCTTTTTTTTACCGCATACATCAGAAAATATTTCATTGTAAAATACATGTCGCAAGTAAATATTTTAACTTCTAAATAGCTAATGCAACAGTTGAACTTCAAGCTAAAGTATAAATTATTGACGAGTCACACTTTAGCGTCAAGACGCTTAATTTGCATCTTGTACGTCTGTTTGTAGTTTGAATTATGGAAAAAAAAAGAAGCCAACGCGTGTCAAACTTGTCACAGATTCGCAAAATAATTCTGGAATCTACAGCCATCCGGAATCTATGGCCATTACAAGTCTTAATTAACCCTAGATTTATTTTAAAGATTAAAAACTCTACAACGACATTTCATTTCTCGACATTTAGAATGTGTGTTACCTCGCTTCTTCTCCGAATTCTGTCTTATTCGGTTCCAGGATAAGGCACGTTATTTCTGCCAGCTAAACAAACATTAAAAACAGCATGATAAATGAAAATGATAAATAAAACTTAATCACGATCCGTTCACTCTCTCTCGTTTTTTATTTCCAACAGTTACATCATACTTGAGACCCTCTCTATAGCTTCTAAGTAAATTATCTTCTAGCATCGAGTATACAGGTCGACAGAGTGGTCAATGCGATAAGCGTCTAACGTAAACTCGACCTTGGCGAATAGACCATTTGTTGATTGCGCGACGCGGATGTATATATACGTGTGTGTTACTGCTTGTTCGTTTTGATAAAATTTTTATTGCAGGACAGTTTGTCACACGTATGCTATCGGGAAGTGTTACAACGAATTCCTTTTTCGCGTGTTATTTCATTTTCGTGTTGCGTTCCTCGCGAACGTTTGGCTCAATCTCGACTTAGAAATTTATTTATTTTTTTTTTTTCCAGGAAATTTATCCTCTACACACATTGTTTGAAAAAAAAAAAAAAACAAACCAATTAATTTCTTTTCCATTTATTGGATATACATAATTCGCGCAAATCTCTTCCTTTTATTCGGTGATTTAAAGCACAATATAAGTAGTTAATGCGAGCGCGCGCAAGACATACAACATATAGCGCGACTATACGTAGTACGAAACTACTTGTGCATTCACGTTTAAAAGTTTAATAATCAGTTTTTTTTCTATCTCTCTTTCTCTTTCTCTCTCGGCTGATGATCGTCACTACCGCGGCTTTATCGATTTGAAATATGTTCATGATGTTTCGGGTCAAGGATGAAACACCTTCCGTAATGCATAAATTATGTTCGCACGTGCGTACTGTACTTGTTCAAATGACAGTTGTACCCTAAAATCTCGCAACGTCCTCTTAGTCGTGCGTCGACGACGACGGGCGACAATTTATTTTTACGACACCATAGTTTGTTTCCTTTATCATATTCTTTATCGCGTATCATAAATAAAAAATATATCGTCATAATAAAAATATATGTCGCGCTCAAAAAAATCGACCGAATCGTCAACTTGTTTCGTCGAAGAAGCTCTCTCGCGCGTAAAAGTACGCGCGTCCAGTAATTAACTTTATATATTCGCTTAAAGAGTTTCATTTTCTCACATTAATAATACGCTGTTTACACAGGTAGTGCGCACAGTTCGGAACACAATTAAGATGGCAACGACGAACGCACAAATCGGTCCAACGTACGCGTATGAGAAGCACCTGAACGATTGTTCGATCAAGATGTTCTTCGCCGAAAAGGTGATACTGTTAACCGGTGCCACGGGTTTCGTGGGAAAAGCCCTGCTGGAGAAATTGCTGCGAACGTGTCCCGCTGTGACCAGAATTTTCGTCCTGATACGTCCAAGGACGAAGCAGTCCATCGAGGAACGATTCAACAAGCTCCTGGAAAATCCTGTATGTAACATGTTCTTTTTTGTCGTTTACTTTTTATCTCATATATATAGTGTGCAGACGAGTGTCTCAATGTGGAGAACTTCGTTTTTGCCTTTTCGCATTACCGCTAATCTTTGCACCTTCACATTTGCATCCGAGAAAAACGGATATAAATCCGTTGAAAAACTTGATCTTTTTTTTTTTTTTTAGTAGACGTATCTAATGGCACTTGTGCTAAATTAATGCGATATCGATTTCACTTCTCTTGCACAATCCTTGTTTAAATATTTCATTAGCGCGCTCTTACGTGTAAAACAAAGTCGTCAATCAAATGCGCGACGAAAGGTCGCGATTGTTAACGTTCCCACAATTGTTGCTCCGCTCTCGTGATTGCGCTCGTATTAAGATCGCACTCTGATATATATTTTTTTTTTGTTTTGCGCATATAATTCTCAACAAACAAATAAGTTTCTTCCGTTTTTTTCGCAGATTTTTGACAAGATACGATGCGACTTCCCGGACGTGTTGAACAAGGTCTTTCTCGTGAAAGGCGACCTGGGCCTACCAGACATAGGACTTCATACCGAGGACAAGGAGATGTTGATACAAAGCGTTAATGTTGTTTTTCACAGCGCGGCCACCGTGCGTTTCGTCGAGTCGTTGAAAGTGGCCGTCAATCTGAACACAAAAGGCACCGACCGCCTGTTGGATCTGTGCAAGTGCATGAGGAATCTCGTCAGCGTTGTTCACGTTAGCACGGCCTACAGTAACGCCGACCGACGTGAAATCGAGGAATCGATATACACGTAAGCGCTCGTCTCTTTTAATTATAAACAACAAACAAGTGTCCCACACATGTTTCTGTTCCCCCATTATGTGAGCAAAAAACCAAATGTTAAATTTCCGCAAAACACACGCATTTTCAAGAAGAATTTAATGATGTCTTCGCGAAAAACAATGTTTTTGTTTTATGTGACGTCGTTATCGTGTTTATTCGTTCTCTACGTGTGGAAGATGATAAGATCGTAGAGACCGTCAAGATCGACAAGCACACATCTCAGTCGTCGCGTACGTTGAAATGTTAAGAATGGAAATATGTCCGGGTTTTATTAGGTACGAACAAAGCTTTTTCTCTTAGAAGTATAAAAATATTCGATACAGAGACGTGGGAGAGAAATCAGTAATGGTTATAGAGACGCTATGTACATATATACGTTCGTGTTCTAACAGCTATTTCTTGTTCACGAGAGTTGGAGAAACATTTATCGAGCATTTCGCGCGCGCGTGTGTGTGTGTATGGGAGAGTAAAAATGCCCTTCAATCCGCTGATGATTACAGCACAAATGTGAAACCTCACACGGTGATTGATATGTGCGAAAACTTGGACGACGCGACGTTAGAAATACTCGAGAAGAGACTGATCGGCAAACATCCGAACACGTACACGCTGACGAAGAATTGGGCGGAACAGATCGTGCTCTCGAAAGGGAGAAACATGCCGATCGCGATCGTACGGCCGAGTATAGTCGGTGCCGCTTATCAGGAACCCTTTCCCGGGTGGATAGACAATGTCTGCGGTATCACAGGTACTGAATGTCACAAACGTTACGCTGTTTTAGCACGCGGAGATTAGAAGAAACATAGTTCATTCGTTTATTTAAACTCCGTATTTATATATCGTACGTTACTTGTGACAAAGGTATAATGACGGAGATCGGTCGGGGAACCGTTCGAAGTATCGTTTGCAACAAGGATTTAATAGTGGACATGATTCCCGTCGATTTCGTTGTCGACACGTTGATCTGCGCGGCGTGGTACAACAGTGTGGAACGGACCGACACGGTCAAGATTTACAATTGTGTCAGCAGCCCCATTCATCCTATAACGTGAGTATAAAAACGTGGCAAAATTTACGAATCGCTAACAAATACATCGCTTTAGAAACGGATAAACAAAACTCGTATGGACTTTTTTGTTTGGCAGATGGCGCAAGGTCGGAAATCTCACTAGAAAATACGCCATCGAATCTCCGTCGAAATACGTAATGTGGTACCCGGACTTCACATTCAGAACAAATAGATTCATTCACTACATCGTAGCGGCTGCGCTGCACTTTTTACCCGCGTTCATCGTGGATGTTATATTGAGAGTGCAAGGTAGCAGACCTATGTAAGTAAACTTTTCTTTTTTTTCATTTTTATCACACATTTTGTTTTTTTTAAATATGGTCAGTATAACACACGCGTCGTTTTTTTCATCACAGAATGATGCAGATCACTAAGCGTTTCGAACGTGCCGCGAAAAATGGCGAATTTTTCGCGATGAACGAGTGGAAATTTCACGCGGACAATATGAAAAAGTTGAAAACCATCGTGAAAGAATCCGAAAATTGTAATCACTTTAACGTTGATATCAGAAGTTTGGATTGGGACAAATACATGCAGCGCTACATACTGGGAATCAGGACGTACATCATGAAAGACAGTCTAGACACGCTGAGCAACGCTCGAAATCGTTTATCAAAGTAAGTTTCAGCGCGTGTAATTACTTAATTAAATCTCACACTTATGTATTATTCTAAGCAAAAAGAATGAATAAATTTCATTGATGTTACAGGTTGTATTGGATACAGAAAATAACCAAACTGTTCAGTATATTTTTATTAATAAGACTGATCAAACTCATTAGTAAATGATATTATCCGATCTGCGGGTCCTACAGATCGCAATTCACATAATTCCAAGAGAGCGTTTCTTACAAGAATATGATGGGAAAAAAAACTATTTTTTAATATAAACACACAGTGTGTTTTTATATTACACATGAAAAAAACGAGCTGTTTTGAAACGAGTATTAATTCGATTATTACAGAGAAAAGAGAATGAAACTATTTACCTATAAAATATTTTTTTAAACTGTGTACATATTTCACACACGTGTGTGTGTGTGTGTGTGCGCGCGCGCGCACGCGCGCGTGTCCATATAATACATTACAGAGAAGTATAAATTTTTAAAGATTTTCGTGAGTGAGATGATCTAATAAACGTTATTTTCTCACGTTAATTTAAAATTATTGTTTCCTATATTCTCTTATGAAGATCTTTATTACACACACACACACACACACACATATTGATCTTTAATAAAATTTCTTCACACGAAAAATCGTCGTGTGAGTCAATACTCGCATATCACAAGATATTATTGCATCTGTCGTATTTTTAAACGACATATACAAACCAAATATTTCTATATATAAATAACACATATGGTTATGCTTCTCAATTACATTACTATTAATTAAGAACAAAAATCTTATTTTTGCTAACTCTGAAAATAATTATCAAAGTCAACATGTTCCGCGTCCAAGCTTTTCTCATTGAAGTTTAATCGAAAAGTGCAGACACAGCACAGGAAACATCGACTGCATTTGGTGGCCCAGAAGAGACACAGAACGTGTCAAAAACTATAATCAAATCTATCTATTATATTACGCTTACAAATACACATGTTTAAGAAAACACAAATTAGTTTATTAAACGAAACAAAGATGAAACGAGAATATATTTATAAAATTATACAATTATACAGGCAGTTAACTTTTTACTAACACGCTAATGTTTCATAATTATGGTGAATGAGAAATAATCCGAAAGAGTGCAATCTCTAAGAATCTAAATGTAAATTGTAAATAAATGTTTTGTAATATAATAAACATAATTTTCTCTCAGAGTTTATTTCCCGCATTTACTGAGAGCGGTCGCATTTTAGCTGTTCTCGTTTTTCCATCCTTATTCATCTTCCATCCTTATTATACACTGCTATGTCCGCAGTGGTGCACATTGGCAAGAAAAAATCGGAACGAAAGATTTATGGTGTGATGTCATCCAATTTCACTCTCTCTCTCTTTCTCTCTCTCTCATTCTCTCACGCGCGCATGCATAATTTTATATTTAAATTTATTGCACAGAAAAAAATGAAATTACAAAAAAAACAAAAAATAAAAAAAACAAAAATTGTTTTCTCTGCGAGATTTATTACAAGATCTATGTATTCTCTTTCGAGGACATGTGACTAGTCTCGGCACGCTTGATGAATGTCTTTGTTTGTTGTTTTCTTAGTGTACACAGTTTGTAGACAACTACAGATTTTGTTCTATGAGAGCGTGCCGTAACTTGTATATTTACATACTTGGACTCGACAGTCCGGCTCGATAGTCTCGTGATCTGAGTGTAAGATTCTGCGATCAAGGAGGTTCCGCGAGTTTGAATCCATACCTTAAGAATTTCTTTGAGCTAGTCCGTTTCAATTGAATTGATCGATTTAAAAGCGAACTGAATTGGGCCTCTATAGTCCGTTAAAAAAAAAAGATAGATTTGCTTCTATAACGTTCAAAAGGAAAGCCCAGTTGTTTCTAACACTTTTCGTGGTGCTATATAAATTAGAAATAGCCAAAAAGTCGAAATGGTGGGCTAGGAATAGTGGGCTTTCCTTTTGAACGTTATAAAGGCAAAATCTCTGCATTGAATTCAGCAATATTTTCCTTAATAAAATTACCGCTGTAAACATCGTGGAAAAGAACCATAGGCGTGCGCGCACACATGTGCATCGACAAGCCGTTGGTGGACGTGTCTACGTAGTTGCTAATGCGCATCACAATGCGGACATAGCGCTAGCGAACAGGGCGGTCGCAGTTAAAATGCGGCTGGAGCCGCTCTCGGCTTCTGTATTATACTTACACACACATATATATGTATAATATATGTGTTTACATACATATATATACCATGATTATAAGAAAAACACAAAACATAGTTGCGCTACCGAGGCATGCTGGTTGCAAGTAACATTCTTATCAATATAATGAGCACATGGAAGTTGATACAGCGACGGTGTTACGACTTGCTCTCATATAAGTACTCATTGCTCATAATATTGGTGGCATTTACTTGTATATTTATTGGCATAGTTCATTTCGGAGAGGTTAGAGAATATATAACAATTTATTTATTCTCTCCTCACCATTTCTCCTCCTCCTTGTGTCACGCGTAATAATATACGTATTTGTGTAGATTATATGTCAACAAAATTATAGAGTTGATTTATTGTTTTGTTTTCGTACATACACATTTTGGTATTTTTTAATCATTGTCTTATACATATACAGGTATGGTTAACATGGAGCAAGGAGAAATACGAGGCAGTGTTTCATTCCTTCAACGACAACATCTTGGAGAGATCTTTTCAAAAACAATTATGCCAGCATGTACCTATAGACGTAGTTTATACGTGGGTGAATGGTTCGGATCCGGTGTTTCTGGAAAGTCTTCAAAAGCACGTGTCTATTATGGATCTTGGTGTAACGGCCTCGAGATTCAGCGACAAGGATGAATTGCGCTATTCATTACGTTCGCTGGAAATGTATGCACCCTGGGTGAGGCATGTCTACATCGTCACCAATGGCCAGATACCAAGTTGGCTCGATATGGATAATCCACGAGTCACACTGGTTACTCACGAAGATATTTTTCTGAATAAAAGTGATTTACCAACTTTTTCTAGTCCCGCTATTGAAAGTCATATTCATAGGTGCTTGGAAACATGTATATATATGTGTGCACGCGTTACCTCTTAGCCAACAATAAGCACAGACATGTAGCAACATTTTGTTCATTGTTCTAGAATACCTGGAATCTCTGACAAATTTTTGTACTTTAATGACGACGTCATGTTGGGTGCCGAGATATGGCCAGAAGACTTTCTGACTCAGGCAAATGGGCAAAAAGTATATCTGGCGTGGTGGGTGCCGGATTGTTCTGAACTTTGCCCTTGGTCTTGGATTGGAGATGGATCCTGTGATCATGCTTGCAATACAACATTGTGCGAATTTGATGGTAATAATTATACAACTTTTATGATCCATATAATGCCATTGTTATCAACTAAAAAAGATTGATGAAAATTATACACAGGTGGAGACTGTCAAACGACCAGTATTCCTGTTGACAGCGAGATGATGGTAGAGTCAGCTGATTACAAATATATACAAGAATCTCATGAAGATAATAATAATAATAATATTAATAATAATAATAACAGACTGCTAGATATTTTAGCCAATAACAATGGCACTTATTTGTCACAGAACAATGTGCTATCGTCCACACTTCGGACGTTAAGTTCCTACAAACTCGGTACATTTAAGTCAAACTACAGGTTTCACAACAGAAGCGTACTTGCGGAGCCTGTGCAAAACGAGACATATGCAAAACTTGACGTTAAAGAGCATTATAAGTCCACGCTAAATAATCTGGAGTCCAAAGTTTTACACAACAATGCCTCAAACAAAACTTCAAATCACGTTGAACAGCTCAAACGCTACTACGATCTTCTAAATTTGGCTCGATCCAACAATTCCCTCAAACACGGGAAATTGATGTATTCCAATCAGTGGAAACACAATTCGCGCGGACTCGACACTTATGCGGAATCTTTGTTATACGTTAACAAGATATACAACGCCGCGTACGGGCTCGAACGAAGAAGAGTGCCGGCGCACATGCCGCACCTGATAGACAAATGGATTGTAAATAATATGCATCAGAAGTTCGAGCACGAATTTCGAAAAACGTCTAGTCACAAAGTGAGAGATCCCGAGGACATGCAGTTCGCGTTTTCTTATTTCTACTTTTTGTCCAGCGAAAAACGAAAAGTACCGGTTGACGAGATATTCGACATGTTCGACACCGACAAATCACGGTAAGAAAAACCAAAAAGAGTGTTGTCACGTCTACGAATCGCCGCAAGATTGTGATTAGTTACAAATAAACGGAAAAATTTTTAGAACTTGGTCGGATAGAGAAATAAGAACGCTATTGTCCCGATTATACCCGTTGCCGCTCGATTACGATCTAGTCATGGAGTTTGAAAGCGCGATAACCAACTGTTCGCATCGCATGAATTTGCCAAAATTTATCGACGTTCCGCCTGGCGAAAGATATTTAGATTCTACACTGGTAAATATATATGTACACAGACGCGATTTACATTTGTTTACGATTGTGTGACACATTTAAAATAATGACAAAACACAAAATTGCAGTTGATTATAACTATTTGCAGCCGGTAGTTTCGAAGGAACTGATCGTAAACTGCGGATCGATTTCTCGAAGGATGCGGTCGAAATTCGGCGAAAGCAGCCGATACCCGCACGAAATAATAAAAGCTGGCAAAAATGAGATTTTCGAGATGTTGACCAGCAACGTTTCTCTCACGGTACAGCTGCTCGATGAAATTCGAAAAGATCCCAAGTACGTATTTTAATTATTTTATTAAATATGCCGACAACGTTACGCATCGTTGCTCTTTCAGAAAATTCATTTGTTTGAACGACGACATGGATCCGAGTCGACGTTCCGAGAACGAAATCGTTCGCGCTTTGCTGGACGACTTCTATCGTTCGCTCTATCCATTACGAAGCACATTCGAATTACCCGCCCAGTATCGCAACCGTTTCTTTCACAGACACGAACTTTTCGAATGGAGAGCCCGCCGTGCGAAAGCCAGAAATTTGTTACTGTGTCTGCTGACGTTACTTCTCGTTCTCACGTTCTATCGCGTGTTTTGCCATTACATGCGCAGACTGTGCAGAATCCGGGAGTTGCCCGCATTTTTTGTGTGAAAAAGTACATATATATATATATATAAATAATAAAATTTTTGTACAAAGCGCAATGAAATTGTAATTGCATAAAAATCAAAAACAATTTATGTAAGTTGATACAACGCATTTATATAACACTTCCGTTATATAAAAAACTGTTTAAATGAAAAGTGTCACTGTGTGCGAAGTTTTAAGAGAGCAATTCTATAATATGTTTAGAGAACTAATTTCACACACATTTATATATACACACACTATATAATTGTTTTTCTATTTTAATTATCTTAAAAGAACACATCACGTTTTCGATCGTTTGTGCAAAGGTGGACAATTTGTGTGCCGAATATTTCGCGGTCCGACCATACCTTCCTGAAGCTTTGCACACTCGAGCATCCACGTCGCCATTTTTGCGACTTCCTCGGCCGACAAACCAGAACATATACCTAGTTGTTTTTTTATTTTATATATATATATATGTATATATATATATATATATCAATGAAGATTACAAATATCGAAACGAGACAACGATTAGTAAAAAAATTTATATGAAAACGCGCAAAATTACCTGGCACGTTCAAGTAGCACATGGATTTCGTGTCTTTATCCACTTCGGAGATCCCGTTAGCGTCCTTCGTTCCACAGAATTTCGTACCAATCGCCGTGTTCTCCTCGCAGTTCGTATCGTTCGAACCATCGATCTTTTGGCCGAACAACGATTCGTCTTTCTTTTCGCCATTAGCGGACTCTTTTTCGGACGAAGTGTTATCTACCGGCTCGGTCGATAGATCGACTATAAAGAAAAAGACGATTTTAACTTAGTGATCTTTACGGTTTAATTAAAAACGATTTTTTGATTCAATTGACGTGTTAACGATTTTAATTTGAGTATCTTAAGCGCTGCGAGCACAACAAATGACACATAAAATATGATTCGTTTAAACGTACTTTTTGAGGAATCGATCTCGTCTTTGAGTACCGATTCCGTGTCCAAATTGACGTTCGCGTCGGTATCTTGACTAGTTATAGAGCAGGTGCCATCACCAGAATTCGTGCACGTTGTGCACTCCGTTGTGTCATGATCGATCGTACTCTTCTCGCTGCTATTCGATCCGATCGATCCAAGTCCCACTAAATATCTGTTTTTGTTTGAAATCATCTTGTGTATTTTTCTGTTCGTAATTACTAACTAGAAAAAAAAAAAAACACTTGACGTCGCTATATCGAACTTACTCGTATATTTCCATGAACAAAGTGAACGGAATCATCGCCGATCCTCCGTCTGGCTCGTGTGTGAATAACTGACAAATCATGATCATCGTCTCTGTGAGATTAGCGCCGAGAAGTCCGACCGCCACGGAAAGGAATTTCTTGACCTGACAAGCGTGACGGAACTTGCCGATTGTCACAATCGTATCGAATTGTTTGCGATCCAGGGAGAGACAGTCCCAACGATGCAGAATTGTCTCGACGGGCAACGTTTTGTTGTAATCTTAAAAACAAATTGCATAACATCGGTCAATTTAAAAGTGAAAAACCAAAAGAACATATACATACGCGCGCGTGTGTAATCTGATATCATCTCTATGCGAGATGTTTGTCGTACTTCCAAATTGTCGTAGCAGCACTCGGAGAAAGCCCACCGTTAAAACGGATGCCGCCGGCGTCGGGTGTTCGAGCCGCGACTTAACCGGCGGTTCCTCACCGTCGGCCAACGCGCGGAAATACGAGCTGGACCATTTGAGCAGATCGTAGGGCTGCGTGCGAATCGCGGCCTTGCAGAACTGCTTCAGTATTATTGGCAGCCTGGCCGGCACCGCGATCTCTTCCCGTTTGAAAAGCGATTGCCCGACGAACGACATTCTTGGTTCTCGTGATCAACGCTCGTGGTGCGTGACGATACCGCGTTAATCACTGTTGTTCTTTTAGCGGTGCTCTCGTCGTCCGGGAAACGTCGTCCGTGAAAAAACGCGCCAACTGCGCACTTCAAATAAAGTCCATCATTCGCGCGCGACTCGCGGAATCCGCGTTTATCGTCGCGATTCGAACAACTTACACAGTTATTCGATTAATCGCGCGAGTATCACCGCCGATCTTCGACACCACTCTCTCAGTCTTTTTTGTAACCGCGCGGTAAATGCGCGGACCATGTGTTCAAACATCTGAATTTTCAAATCGCATGCACGGCTGCCAATCTCAGCGACCGACAGTGCTGGAAATTTTTCTTCAGTCGCTATTGGTCGAGCGACGGTTAAACTGATCGAATGCGATTGGTCGGAATTTTGTCAAAAAATTAGGCCCAAATTCATAGTCGCTTCTCAAACCTTAGATCACGTTTCCAATCTCACATTTCAGGGCGACGTCCCATTGAGCGGAAATCTATAGCGGAACGGAATGTGCGGAACCAGCTCGACCAATCATAACCATTCCGTTTTCTTTCCTTCGCTTTTTCTGTGGTTACGATTGGTCGAGCCGGTTCCGCACATTCCGTTCCGCTATAGATTTCCGCTCAATGGGACATCGCCCTCAGCTATCAGGTCTCGAATCTCCAATCTCAAATTTCAATGCAGTGGCGAATCATGAAATTTGGTGTTTCATGACTAAGTAGAGATTTTATAGACCTTCGGTCCACTGAACCATTTTTGCGCTAAATCAGACCAGAGATTATAAATTTTCCTAATTACTAATGGAGATTTATAATAAAGAATAAATAATAGTCTCCAATGAAAGGCCATAACCTTCAATTAAAGAATATATATTGGTATATTCTTTGCTTCAATTTTAAGTTTATATGGTATAATATTTAATACCATTAATGGTTTACGTTATAAAAATAGCAAGACTTCTACACCACAACTTACAAAGATTGAAAAAATATTATTATTGTCAATTATGTCATATGTTTCTCTCTTGTTATAGTACAGTCGGCGTCAATGAATCGTTTCGTGGACCTAAGGGGCAAAGAGTAAAGGCCAAATCACACTAACAATTGACGATCGGAGATTAGCGATTGGCGATTGACGTTTCTCCAATCACACTACAGGCCTAAAGTGTTTCCTTTCCCTATAAGGCATATAAACAATAAGTGTGTGTTGTGTGCGTGAACGTACTTCCTCATATGTATGTTTTTCTTCTTATCCGAATGTTTGTGTGTATACTTGTATTATGTATTACAACGTAAATAAGAAATACACCTGTGTGTGTATGAAGAGTGAATGGGTGCGTTCAAACAACTCAACAGTTGCACAACGGTTGAGAGATAATCACTTCTGATTGGATCGTACTTTTGGAACCGCAGCAGATTTTGAAGAATAGTTCTATCATAAGTGATGATCTCTCAACCGTTGAGTTGTCTGAACGCACCCAATGATGCTAGTGTAAATGGTGTATGAATGAGCCCTTATGATCACCTTTTTTGGTATAGTAGATATAACGTAAATGTTGTTATTAAGAAGTATAATTGCGTGTGCATGAAATGTGAGCAATGCTAGTGGGAATGGTGTATGAATGAGCCCTTATGATCAACTTTTTTGGTATAGTAGATGTAAAGTAAATGTTGTCCTTAATAGGGACAGTTACCCTATATGGATTTAAATGACTGTTGCGCACAAGTCACTGTATTGATTAGGGCGGCGTTCCATTGGGAGCGAAAAAATCCATAGGGGAACGTAATGTGCGGAATCCAGTGCGACCAATCGTAGCCACTCCGTTTTCTTAACTTTGCTCTTTCTGTGACTATGATTGGCCGCGCATTCCGTCTCTCCACAAATGTCCAATGGGACGCCACCCTTAGATTCTGGCGATTGTCGTTCGTTCGCAAGCGCGCGTCACTTTTGCGAACGCGGCTTGTTAAGGAAATTAAAGGAAATGTAAAGAGATGGCGCGTCACGAGCATGTGTTTGCTCACAGCTCTAGTAATTTTGGAGGGACATAGCGTATCGAAGTATGGCGGAGTCGCAGCGGTGTTTGGTTGGTTTGGTACCGTGATTCCGGTTCTTCGGTCGTTTACGATTCGATCCTGACTACAAAGAGACAACTTAATTAGCGGACAAAGTGGTGAGTAATGGCATGAGGGAGGTATACGTTGTGTAAAGTCGAGTGGTCAGTTTCGGAGGTTTTTTGATTTTAGGAAATAATAGATCGAGAAACGCGCGATTACGCACGAAATCACGCGCAAGAAGATGTCCAAGGCGGATGAGAATGCGGACACCGGTGACACGGGCGACAATTCAAATGGCTCGTCGGCGGAGACAACGTCGTCAAGGGGCGGCGATTTCGAGACGAAACTCGAGACCGATCGCAGCAAGCGGTTTGACTACTTGCTCAAGCAAACCGAGATATTCTCGCACTTTATGACAAACAATCAGAAGGACAAGGCCGGCAGTCCGCTTAAGGTCAAAGCCGGCAGGCCTAGAAAGCAGCCGGACAATCCGAAAACGGATTCCGGCGATCACAGACATCGCAAAACCGAGCAAGAGGAGGACGAGGAACTGTTGGCCGAGAGCAACGCCAGTGTGGCGCCCACCACGCGTTTCGAATCATCGCCGCACTATATCAAATCCGGTGAGTTGCGCGATTATCAGATACGCGGTTTAAATTGGATGATATCGCTCTACGAGCACGGTATTAACGGGATCCTGGCCGACGAGATGGGTCTCGGTAAGACATTGCAAACCATTTCTCTGCTCGGATACATGAAACACTTTCGCAATATTCCCGGTCCTCACATTGTCATTGTGCCGAAGTCGACGCTGGCCAATTGGATGAACGAGTTCAAAAAGTGGTGTCCCAGCCTTCGCGCTGTCTGTCTCATAGGTGACGCCGAGACCAGAAACACATTCATTCGTGACGTTATGATGCCCGGTGAGTGGGATGTGTGCGTGACTTCTTACGAGATGGTTATCAAAGAGAAATCAGTATTCAAGAAATTCAATTGGCGCTACATGGTGATAGACGAGGCGCATAGAATAAAGAACGAGAAGTCTAAGTTGTCGGAAATTCTCAGAGAATTCAAAACCACCAATCGACTTCTGTTGACGGGCACGCCGCTTCAGAATAATCTCCACGAGTTGTGGTCACTGCTCAATTTCCTTCTGCCGGATGTATTCAATAGTTCGGACGATTTCGACTCCTGGTTCAATACAAATAGCTTTTTAGGTGATAATTCTCTGGTCGAGAGATTGCACGCGGTTCTGAGACCGTTTCTGTTGCGGCGCTTGAAATCCGAAGTGGAAAAAGGACTTAAGCCTAAAAAGGAGATTAAGGTATACATCGGTCTGAGCAAAATGCAGAGAGAATGGTACACTAAGGTGTTGATGAAAGATATAGATATAGTGAATGGGGCGGGGAAGATAGAAAAAATGAGACTGCAAAATATTTTGATGCAATTGCGAAAATGTTGCAATCATCCGTATTTGTTCGACGGTGCCGAGCCTGGACCGCCGTATACCACTGACGAGCATCTGGTTTACAACTGCGGCAAAATGGTGATACTTGACAAATTGTTGCCAAAATTGCAGCAGCAAGAATCTCGAGTGCTGGTCTTCAGCCAGATGACGAGGATGTTGGATATTTTAGAAGACTACTGTCACTGGAGATGTTTTCAATATTGCCGATTGGACGGCAACACAGCCCATGAGGATCGACAGCGGCAGATCAACGAGTACAACGCGCCCGGCAGCGAGAAATTCATTTTTATGTTGTCGACCCGCGCGGGTGGTCTAGGTATCAATTTGGCAACCGCTGATGTAGTCATCATTTACGATTCCGATTGGAATCCGCAAATGGATCTGCAGGCGATGGACCGTGCGCATCGTATAGGTCAGCAGAAGCAGGTTCGGGTCTTCAGGTTTATTACGGAAAACACTGTGGAAGAGAAAATTGTCGAACGTGCCGAGGTGAAGTTACGACTGGATAAGCTCGTTATTCAACAGGGACGTTTGGTCGACGCCAAACAGACGGCACTGAACAAAGACGAGATGTTGAACATGATCAGGCATGGCGCGAACGAAGTGTTCGCGTCCAAGGACAGCGCCATCACCGACGAGGACATAGATACCATATTGCAGAAGGGCGAAGCGAAAACGGAGGAAATGAAACAGAAACTCGAGAGTCTGGGCGAATCGTCGTTGCGCAATTTCACCGTGGACGCGCCAACGGATTCCGTTTACCAGTTCGAGGGCGAAGATTACCGCGAAAAACAAAAGATTCTCGGAATAGGCAATTGGATCGAACCGCCTAAACGCGAGCGCAAAGCTAATTACGCCGTTGACGCTTACTTTAGAGAAGCGTTGAGGGTTTCGGAGCCGAAAGCACCCAAAGCACCGAGACCACCGAAGCAGCCGATAGTTCAAGATTTTCAATTTTTTCCACCGCGATTGTTTGAACTACTGGATCAAGAGATCTATTACTTCAGACAGACGGTCGGTTACAAAGTCCCGAAAAATCCGGAACTCGGATCGGACGCCGCTCGAATTCAAAAAGAGGAGCAGCGTAAGATTGACGATGCTCAGCCGCTCACCGATGATGAGGTAATCGAGAAAGAAAAGCTGCTGCTTCAGGGTTTCACCAATTGGACCAAACGAGACTTCAATCAGTTTATCAAAGCGAACGAGAAATACGGCCGCGACGACATAGAGAATATTGCGAAAGAGGTCGAGGGAAAGACGCCGGAGGAAGTGGTGGAGTACTCGGCCGTTTTCTGGGAGCGTTGTCACGAGCTCCAGGACATAGACCGCGTGATGGCGCAAATCGAGCGCGGCGAGGCCAAGATACAGAGACGCGCCGGCATCAAGAAGGCGCTGGACGCGAAAATGGCCCGATACCGCGCGCCCTTCCACCAGCTCAGGATAGCCTACGGGACGAACAAGGGCAAGAACTACACCGAGGAGGAGGACAGATTTCTCGTTTGTATGTTGCACAAACTCGGATTTGACAAGGAGAACGTGTACGAGGAGTTGCGGGCAACCGTGAGGTCGGCGCCGCAATTCCGTTTCGATTGGTTCGTCAAATCCCGCACTGCCTTAGAATTACAACGTCGCTGCAATACTCTGATAACCCTGATCGAGCGCGAGAATCAAGAGCTGGAGGAGCGCGAGAGACAGGAGAGAAGAAAGAAGGGCGGCAGCATAGGAACGAAACCGGCTTCGAAGCGAAAACAAGAGAATTTGCCGGCACCTCAGGACAAACCGCGAAAAAAGAAAAAATAAATGATACCGTATGTACGTACTCTTGTTTTCACTTTCACACACACATTTTGTACGATTAAATAATACGAATCACGAGTACGCAAGATTTTTTTTTTTTTTTATACATTCGCAACTCCGTTTCTACTCGTTTTCTCTCGTCAATTACGTCAATTTTGTAAAAAAAATATCCCATTAACTCGTTAATTATGAATTTACACATTCTTATCGTAGCAAAATACAAATTTTTTTAACGATGAGACCTCACGGTGAATTCATCGACATTTTTGTAAACCGCTTTGGATTATTTAATCATGTAATCTAAAGACGAGCTCGTTCATTGTAGACGTAAGATTCGAAAATAGAAGTCAACGCCAGTGTCGCGAAATTGTCGACGCATAAGAGCTCCGCGGATAACAGTCTTTTTTTAAAAAAAATAAATAAATAAATTGTGTAAAGAAACATCGCCAAGTTTTCACTTGCTGCACTTTGCCGTTCACGAATGTGCGAATGCGAAAGGAGTAAGTTCTGTAAAATTGTATTTTTTAAATATTTCTGTCGCGCTTCGAAAAACGAAAACAAAAAAAAACAAATCTGAACACAATCGAATATATTCTACACATGTAACGTACGGTAGAAAATCGAGATAGATTTATATATATATATATATATACGTGTACGAATCCTTTTGCTTATAATCTTACATTAATTTATAGCGTTTTATTAGTAGAATTTTAATATATCTATGTGTTGTATATGTTGCTTCTTATAAAATTTACAATAAGATAATTATTAAAAAAAAAAACAAACAAACAAATCGAAGTATTACTATGATATAATCGAGACGTATACTAGACGAATGACGCTCTCCGATGCGCATTATTAGCGACAAATTGTTCTTGTTTTGAGGGAGGGGGGTGGAATTGTAATAGAGATTATTTGTCAAATGACAAAAAATGATTTATATTTCCGTCATTCTCACACATAAAGTAGACTTCTTTTATACACGTCAAGTTATACAACTCCTCTAAAGAGATGTGCACACATGAGCAATTTTATGCCTAAGTTTACATACTTGTGTACACGTATCACACACACACACACACACAAACAAACAAACAAATGTTCACACATGAACAAAAAAGAAGAACAGACTTCGTAATGCGATAATAAAATTTAGTTCAATGTCTTCGGTAATGAATAAACTGTATTGTACGAATAAGAGAGATGCTTTATTTCAGTTTATTTGTTTTCAGTTGTTGCCACTGTCACGCATTTGCTAATTTTTCCTAACAAGATACTTGTGATCGTTCAATCGATTTGATCTTTGTTATAATAATAACTGCTGAGAAAACGAGATGTATATTGTATGAACGGATTGTACGCACGTGTACAAGTTAAAGGTGAAGCATTCTGATAGTTTTTTTTTTTTTTTGTTTTTTTGTTTTATTTAAACCGTCCTTAAGGCCCCAAAGTTCTGTGTGTCTCGTCGCGGAATGTAACATTCTGTAATTCGTACTTGTATACATTCTTTTGTGTTTTCAGGGGGTTTTGATCACCCCATCGATCCCACAAAAGCCGCAAAGAAAACGCTAAGGAATATATCGCCGAAAGTGTTGTATAACTTTCACATACACGCGCACACGCACACGCACACGTTTGCCGTTAATAACAACAGTGTTGGTCAGCAAAAAGCGAAATTCATATCATCATTATTATCATTACTTTTTTATCTAGTTACATCTAGGCGTGGTGATTAGAATACATTGAGAGGGTACAATTACGTGTCGTCCCTCCTTCGCACGAACTTTTATGTAATATCCAAACGAGTGAAAAACAAATAGCCGGTGGTGTATTTGTGCAACTATAAAAAGTGAAAGTAATTTATAATCGTATTGGCTTGTTTTTTGCTCTTCAAATTATATCTTCTTTTAACAATGTTATCTCAATTATTTCTAAAGTGTGTGTAGGAATATATTAACATTAGTGCAACTTAGATCATGTTCGAGATGGAGTAGAATCACCTTTTTTTGTTTTTTTTTTGTTTTTTTTTAATTTAAATTTTCAGAAGAGAAATATGTATTCACACAACGAATCTATATATTTATACGTGTAGTTATAGTTTGCGTATGTGTAATCCATTATCGTCTATGGCAAGAATACGGGCCTATCGCGATCTTCGTACGAGACCGTACGAAGTATGTATATCTGTATTTGTTACATTCATACATTTATACGTTAATTTTTATAAAGTGAATTCAGCTATCAAAGTGATCGCTATATTTGATCGCCTGCACAACGACGGCTGTCTGAAATAAAAAAAGAAGAAAGAGAATCTCACACACGGTCTCCTCAGAAATCCTTGGATCGATAAGTAACACTATGTGTTTCGTAAGTTTTTTTTAATGTGCTCTTTTCACAATTACACAGTCGTTTATGACAAAAGGAAATACGAATGGAATACATGTATATATATATATGTATATTTTTTTTTTTAAATCTTATCTTGCCGGAAGTAGAATAGAGCTTGAAAATATTCACGATATTCCATCTTTTTCATGTAAATATACATCGTTAAAATTTGAATTTTAAAATAAATATCTCGAGAGAGAGATAGAGAGAGTTGCATTATTCTATACATATCTTTGTCTAATTCTTTAACGATTATTCGTGTTATATGCTTTAAAAGTCTGTGATAACAACAATAAGAGTAATAATACTGGTAAGTCGGTATGGCGCAATCAGGTTTCTTTTTTTTTTTAAGCAAATCTTATCTTGCCTAAAAAGTGAATATTTTCTAGTAAATATTTTCCATTAGGAATACCTACACTACGTTACATGTTTTGTTTAAAATCTACATTTTGCAATATCGATGCTTTAATATGGATTTTTTTTATTTTTTATTTTTTTTGACAGATATATTGGTGCTATATAGTTTGCCAAACAGTTTTTTTTTACAGCATTTTCGATTTTGATTATTCGATAAAAGAATTTGTTCATACACTTTTGTTCGCGAATAACTTCTTACATATTAAGGTATTGACTAAGTTGAACAGAGTTACTTCCGGATTCCCGACTAAATGTGCGGATAAAAAAAATTTTTTGTTTATCTCGTTGTTTATATATAACGAGATATATGTGTGTTTATTTCTACTATGGTGCGATTGAAAAAAAAAGAGATCAATTTGCTACACAACAATGAACATGCTATTTGATATTGAAATACATTTGTATATCGCTTTTCATTGACTAATCACACTGCTTTTTATTAAAAAAACAAGCGCACAAAAGAGGAGACAATTTGTTTTCGCGTAAAATGTACATAACAAAGAGTAAAAACCGCCAAAAATATACAAACAAAAAAAATTGACAACTTCTCAATATATAAATGTGAGAGTTTCTCGCATACAGTTTTTTTTACAAAGTAACGATATATAATAATTACACATAAATCTAATTCTATTTAGTACACTGTACAATATGTAGAGAAATACGTGTCAGAAATAAAACATCTGAATAACTTTTCTAAAAATATAAAAAACTAAAAAAAAGCACGCGTGTCTATATCTACATCATGCATAATTTTGAATAATTTTACATAAATTATGTAACTTTGTAACATTTTACACCTGTTATTTGTCACACAAAATAAACAATTTTTAAATTATCTTACACAAAAAATATCTTCTTGCACTCGATCGCAATGCAAGCGTTTATACGTATTTCGTTCTACAAGAGTTATTCAGATATTGTGTTTCCAGAATTTTTCTGCATCAAGTTTTGTGTCCGTTATATTAAAAATCGACTCGAGATCTCGAACGGAGAGAACACTTACCAATCGTATTGGTTAAGCAGTCGAATTGTTCGAATGGAAGAGAGAACTGACCGCGTTCGTTTGAGGAATCTCGAACCGATTTCTAACATCGTGGACACCAAACTTGATGAAGAGAAGTGTCTTTACATACATATATAAAATAAATAAACTTGAAAACTATATGGTATAACAATAATTAGATAAAAATAGAGGAGAGGAATGGATTATTAAGTCAAACGTTTGAGCTTATACAATATAGTCCGCTTAAATATTAAAACACATTTCATTTTTACATAAAACAACTACTTAATTATTATCTTCTAAGGCCACGTTTCTACGATGCTGGAAATCTGTCTGAAATCTCGAACGGAGAAAAATTTGATCGAGAATTGGTCAATTCTTCCCCCGTTCGAGTTCTTTGGATTAATTTCAGGCATTGTGAACACAAGGCTTAGATCTCGTATATCTTTCATAATTGTGTATGGAGATGCGTGTCAGATAAATGTTATTTATTTTATCAGATAAATAATTTATTTTATGAAAAAAACAATGAAAAAAGTTGAAGCTGAAGGAGTTGTCCGAATGTTTCAATATCGCAAGAATTATATAATAATTCTTATATATCATATATGTATCATATATGTAATTATTATATAATAATTCTTTATATCATATATGTACATATATGTACTAAAACGTAAATTTGTTACTTTTTACGAGGATTTTTTTTCAAGAACTATATCTCCATTTACTTTTATAGGAATATTGTATTGTTACTCAGTAATATTCGTGAAGAATTTTACATAATTAAAACTATAAATACATTATGTAGATATCTACTTAATGGCCATTGCACATAATTTGTGTAATGTAATGTGTGTTAAATGATTATTAGGTAAAAATCAGGTAAAACGGATAACGTAAAAAAAAAAAAAAATACTATTCCTAGAGTCGAATGGTGACAATTTAATTTACCTATTATCATCCACGACTAGCAGCAGAATTCTGCTTTTATTATGATGATGATTTGAAAATCTAGATAAAGAGAGAAAAACAGACTAACAGACAGCGCGACTTGAATTTGATGAATTCAAGGTACTCGAAAAAAGTTTTAAGAATTCTACAAGCTGCATTAAGTAGAAAGGAAAGTAATCGTCAAAAGCTAGAACATCTGTTTAAAGTTAATGTTACGTTCATATTGATATATATGAATAAGTAAAGATCTAATATAAAAATCGAATCGAAAATCAGATGCCTCCAAGGGGGTGGATCGGGGGGTGGAGGCAAAGGGACTGGTTACGGACGGCAGTGTCCTCTTTTTCTACCTCCTTCGTTACCGTCTTCGTCTTCGCCACCCCTTCGCACTTCCGTGTAACGTTCACCCTTCACACTTACGATCTTGTTGTCGAGATATCGCACCAATTTCTTGGGCTCCGTTTTCGGCGCGACCGGACGATGTTCGCGGCAATCGTCGTCCCGGTCGACATAACTGTACCGCGCTATAATACGAGACTTCAGCTCTTCGTCATTCAATCTTGCTTTGTTACGACCATTGGGCTGAAATAATGAATATCATGTTTTCATATAATCGATTCAAGATGGAGTATTGAGAAATGAGATAACTATATGTGAAATATCTCACCGTCAAAAATGTAAGATTGCTCACGATACTTTGACCCGCTTCCTGACGATGTATCGCAAGTTGTGCGGCTTTAGCTATATCACCTCCAGCTACTGCTAGGCAGTGCCTCGCTTCCGCCGTACTTGCTGTCGGAAACATTTCTTGCAACAGAGCTACTTGATGCCAAGAGGATTCCTACAATATTCAATACAAAGAATTTGCAGGTTATATCCAAAATGAAGAGTACTTGCGATAATAAAATACTTACCTCTGAATAGTATTCACCACTGGAATCACTGCCGGCGTCGCTTGTTTCTGAGAGATGATGAACTCTCATTCTTTGCGCGCCAGCCGGCAGGAGAGCAGTCAGACTGATGTGATTCAATGGATCGCTATGAGTTTGACAACTTTCATTTTCTTTACTTTCTTGTTTCAGTTTACTTTCTACATCCAGTAGCCACTTTGACACGGCTTCTTTTTTAATGGTAGAAAACTCAGGAAGGCAAGCCGATACCATTTCGCACAATCCGTCCACATCTAACGTTTCTTCCAACGCACTTTCCTCAACCATACTCACTACATAACTGAGTACAATGTCGTCTATCAAGCTAGAGAAATAAATATAATCATGTGAAACTAGACAAAATATTATATTTATATGTACATCCGTACATAATAAATACAAATACAAACATAAATATATTATTAAATATAACATTAATGTGTCTGTTATATATATATAAAAAATTCAGAATATTTAATTAGAATATTTAATATGTAAAATTTTTAAATACTAAATATTATTAAAATAACAATATTACTATGTCTATTGAATAAAGAAACATTTTGGAGACAATTTGTAATTTAGGGCAAACAACCCGTACCTTAATTGTGCATTGGGCACCTGCTTCCTGACAAAACTAAATAAGGCCTTCTTCACCAACTCCTCTTTCTCGTCCATCGTACGATTCATCCTACAATTATTTAAATCCCAGAATTATTCTTCAACGCACATCGAGATCACGCGGAGATCGAAGCGTCGTTCTCGAGGAAGGCAACTTCGCGCGCGCAATTAATTTTTCCGCGAGCAGAGGTTGTATTATTTTCTTGTTGTTTTATTATTAATTAATTCGCGATATTCTTGAATGTCGCAACGCGTTTTATACCGACTCGCTGTTATTCAACGATCACATCACGGGCGTTCTTGGCGCGTACGTACGTAAGACAACGTTCAGTCATTGATCCTTTAATATAGGTTAAGGGAAACAAGAGGGCAGCAGGTCTCTAGTTTGTGGCCCTTGTGCGCCCTTACGCAGCGTAGAAGACGCGTTTAACATGGGAGAAATAAAAAAGAACACGAGGGATTTTAAGTACAAACCTGATCGCGTGATCGATCGATCGCAAAACTGCGGCGAAGAACTGCGCTCTCACCCGGTCGCGTATACCGAACAGGTCAAAATCACGAAATAAGACGAGAGGAACTTTGACGAGAGGCTTCGATCACGCAGCAAGTATTCCTCGATCACGCTGGCAGATCGCCGAAAACGGACACCTCCGACGTAAGACGCACAATGTGCGCGAAACCAGGTACACACTCGAATCCGGGATCACCTCGAGCGAGCTTCTTTGCGTCTGCGAACGACGCCAAACGTCCACACTCCCCGAGATAAATTTCGTATACAAACAACGCTCTCTTCGATTTGACAGCTTGGCGAAGAGAGGGGCATGCCACAACGTGGAGAGGGGACAGACTTCCGGCGACTGGCGCTATCTGCAGCGCCACGAGGGAACTATTGCCCTGTCTTATATTTTTATTACACATTATTTATAGCACGCGCTGTATATACGTATATAATAAGAACGTATATATTGTGCATACGCGCATCCCTCGTACGCGACATCAAGAGAACGGCTGTGCAAAAACCGTATTGTTTAAAAATACGAAATCCTATTAGGTAAGTTCTCCTTGATATTATTTATTGGATTTCCATGGCCTAATTTAATCAAATGCCGATGCATCGATGAGCAGCAATAGAATTAGTGCTTGTGTTTTTAAATCAAATCATTGCTTCAAAATTCACGAGCGTTTTTTTTCTCTTCGCAAAGTTTCGCACATTTTTTCGTAAAAAACTAAACAACCAAGAAGGACTAGGATTTTCGTCATCACAATTTTTGCCATTTTTCGGGGCTGTTGTGTATTTATTTATTTTCATATCTTATACGTTTACATATTTGCGCTTACGTTTCACTTACGTATTATATTTTACAAGGAATTGTTTATATTTTTACTTATTTATATACACACGCACGCACCGCATAAAACTCGCACGCACAAAGAAATTTATCGAATAAATAAATAATTTTCATATACGCATTGTGTATACACGCACACACACACACACACACACGCGCGCGCGCAGAAAAACACCGCACGGGACTAGAGGAAATAGCTCTAGAGTTTACCTATTGTATTCAGCATTCAAAAATGCCCTTTTTTCTTGGAAAGGAAATGAAAAGGTAAAAAGAGAGAACAAGCCGTAAAAACAAGAGATCCGGCTGTACTATCTGAAACTTCTCAAATGCCACAATGATAAAAGAATGTTTCAACATACATATCCAATCTTCTTTTAGAAACACTTATTGTAAAAGTATGATTAATACCAATTGTGTATAGATATCGATAAAACTAACAAGTAAGTAAAAGAACGATAATTTTCTTGGAGATAAAGAGATAAGAGAGATGTCGAGTGTGCTGAAAATATATACATATCATAAATATATATATATATATATAGACATATAGATTCCAAAAATAAATTTCTTTTATTTTCGTCAATCAAAATTACGTATTATATTCTTTCGGAACGTCTCGTGTCCGTTAAGAGAAATTAAAATCAGGTAATAACTTTGTGGGCGCGTTTTCCCCCCTACACGACTCCGTCATCTTCGGCGTCGACGGAAGTATATTCGAGAGATTCTTCTTTATTATTACCGTTTTCCTTTTTACAACTTGACGATTCCGGTTCCTCAACGATTTCCTGCTGCTGCTCCAAGAAATCAGTCGGCACGAATTCCATTTGATCCTCGTTGTCGTTCAGATCCGGCGGCGCCGGCAATTCGCACAAATGCAATCTCTCGTCCTCGTCGTCGTCGTCGTCGTCGTCATCGTCGTCGTCAAGTTCTTCCTCGCCGCCCGGATCGTCCTCCTCGTGCAGACTCATGAGTTTTTCAAACTCCGAGGAGGCCGTGCCGTCCTCGTTATCCTCGGAGAATATCTCCGTCGGACTGAGAGGCAAGTCCAGGGGTTCCATCTTCACGGTCACGCACGGCGACGACGGAGTGACAGGCCGTTGTAAACGTATCTTGGTAAAGGGTTTTGGCTCGATGGGTTCGCAGTGTTGTCGCTTTTGCGCGCGTTTAGGACTAGAAGGTGTCGTCGGCGACACTTTGATCGGCGACGTTTTGTTTTCTTTGGATTCCGTACTATTTCCTTTAGGAACTACGAGTTGAGACGACAATGGCTTCGACTGAGGTAAGAGTAACGTAGACGATTTTGCAGGCGATTTCGTGTTGTTGTTCTGTCGTGAGAAACGAGAAAACGAATAAAATTACACTTACTTTGTCGCAGACGTCGCAGCAGATTGTCGCAACAAGCAGCTAATCAACTTACTTGGGATGAGATACTCGGGCCCGCCAGACCCTTCACTTGCAAAGCTTCGGCAGCATTTAACAGTTGCGGCAGTTTGTCGTGAGCAACATTGACCTCACCGCGGTACATGAACTTCACCAACGCCTCCACCTCCCAGAACTTCATGTCCTTCATTAAAATAATAGGATGTTGACACGGATTTTCTCGTAGCAAATCCGCGAGATAGTCGCTGCAGGAGGACAAAATCATCTTGTGGCACTTAAGAGATCGGCCCTCGCACGCTAGGGTAACATCAACGAACTGTTCGGTGTCCAATAACGACGGGAAGGTGTTCTGCATATTGCTGTGGTAACTGTTCCACCTCAAGCAAACCTGAAACACACGCGACCATCAGTAAAAACATTCGCATTTTATCGTCACGTTTCTCGCAACTTATAGCATTTACTTCTGTAGGCTGTTGATGTACGATTTTGTGAGGTGATTCTTGATTGGTGGTTTGTCGCGATGGCAGTTTAATAGTGGTAGGTGCGACTTGCTTCACTTTCAGCGGAATCGTTTTTAATACAAGAGTCTTTGGTTGCTGTTGTTGCTGTTGTTGCTGAGGTAATAGCGCCGACGTCATGTTACGAAGAAGCGGTCTCACCAGGGTCTGCGTAGATCGTATCTTACTGGTTGAGCTACTTTGAGACGTTGACTGTAAAACTGCCAACAAAAACAAGAAAAATGTCAAAGTGCAAACTCTATTCTTCTCCGTATAATAAAAACTCGATATCTTTATCAAATCTTATCAGTTGAATTGTGCAATGCGAGATTCACCGTGATATCGTCTACCGATCAGTCTGCCGCCGTGGTGTACCCTGAGATGCCGGTGTAAATTCGTGGTGCCGCATTGGCGCGGATTCGCGCCGCCCCGCACCACAATCGCCCCGCAGATACGGCACTGGGCGCGCAGCGGATCGTTAGGGCACAGATCGAAGTGCGCCCAGACAGCGCTGGGATTCGCCATGGCGCGCAGGCTGCGCGCGTGGGAGCGCACGCGGTTCACAACGCTCCCGTGATGAGATGAGCGGCCGGAGGTCGGCGGCGATGACGACGACGCCAGTGTCGGCGGAAGCGGCGGCGGTATCAGAGGCTGCAGCGGCGGCGACGGTGACCTGGTCGACGTGGGCGGCGTGCTCGACTCGTCCATGTAGCAATCCTCTTCGTCCTCCGGCTCCTGTTTCATCGCGAAGCCTCTCCTAATGTCGTCCGTGGAGGTCGTCACGATGTCACGTTCCTCTCGACGACGACGCAGACCGACGATCCGTATGGTTCGACCGAGTATCTCGCCTCTGTTCAGATAAAAACAAAACTACAATCCGCTCGAAACGAAACGGTCAAAAATTCGTAAAATCTCAGCGTTATTTTTATTTTTAATACAAAAAAAAAAAAAAAAAATTACTGAACCTTTTTTTATCTACGCGTGCTTCCTCATGTGCTTGGTCGAAACTCAAAACGCGTGATTTGTTTTCGGAGCTACCTAACTTAAATAAATAACTCGATATCATCGCTTGCTTTCCTCACGCGCTCGTCTACACTCGAGCGGTACAAAATGGGTCTATTGTAATTCTATTTCTGAATCATCTTTACAAGCGCGAAATAGCTGAATCTATTGTTTGTAAAATATCAATAAACATGTGTTCATTATATATATTGTTCTCCATTAGCGTTTTATTGCCTAAATACAAAGAGTCGTAACTGCAAAATTATTTTATAAAGTAACAAGACAGGGACCGTCAAAACATAATTGTATAAAAAAAAGTGAGTAAAAAATGAAATATATATATATATATATATACATTGTATATACAAAATTCGCTACGTCACCGATCATCGCACGCGTGTACAAGTCGTTACTCTTGTTTTTTCTTTTTTTTACAATTTGTGTGTCTGCTTTTTCAACGCGCGTGTGCACACGATTTGGCACCCGGACTCGTACGATTTGTTTGCGTATCGCGGAGAGATGTTCGTAATTATTTCTGCGCCTTCTCTCTCTATCTCTCTCTCTCTCAAAAGAGAGAGAGATAGAGAGGAGCACGTATCTCTCTCTCCCATTTCATTCTCTCGCCCTTCTCCCGTTTCCCTCTCTCCGCGCGCGCGTTTCTCGCACCCATTCCATCCCGCGTTTCGCGAAGATCGCGCCCGGTTGTAAAACGGACAACGTGTGTGACGCGAGCGACAGACCGGAGTCGCAACGCCGAGCAAAAGCGACGGTCTACCTATTTACCGATTTACGACCGGTCGTATCGGGTTTTCTGCGTTCGATTATACCGATCTCATATATCGCGAGCGGGCGGAGAGCGTGACCGTGAGCGGATCCCCCGATATTCGCCGCGACGCACTACTACCACCACCGCTACTACTACTACTACTCCTCATCCGATCGATCATCCATCGTCTTTCCTCATCTTCGTAAAGCGCGCAATGTCGCGCGAGACTCTTACCTCTTCTTTTCTTCGAGTATCTCGTTTATCCGAGATAATCGAAATGTTCGCCGTACGAGTGTCGAACCGGTTCTCGACAGCGCGATAATAGTATTGACGCGCGTTGGAAATCGTCGACGATGACGACGACGACGACGACGACGACGGCGACAACGACGGTTGCACCCTCCTCTTTCTCTTTCTCTTTCGTCGTCTATCTCCTTCTTTTACTACACAGTGCGTTCTTTTACAGAGACAAATCTTTTGTGAAATTCTCTCACGAGAATCGTCGGTCACGCGTCACTCTATCTTTCTCTCTCTTTCTCTCTCTCGTTCACGGCGCCTGTAGAATTACCGGCAAATCGCAAGTGAGAAAAACCGGCATCGAAAAATGATGGGACTCGCGGGTGTGTGCCTGCGAAACGCGTCGTTACGTTAGAGGACCGGAACGATTTTCTCCGAAGCCGAACCCGGGAGTGACTAAAATCGAAATCGGTGAACGAACAGGGGCGCGTCGGGGCGCGCATGTGCGACGGCGTCGCCGGTCGTCGACGCATATTATCCGTGCATCGTGTGCCGGCCGTCGTGTCGCTATCGCTTTGTGTGTGCGCGCGCGCGCGCGTGCGTACCTATTTCTTTCTTTCTCTCTCCCCCTCTCTCTCTCTCTCTCTCTCTCTCTCTCTCTCTGGTTTCTTCGGTTATTGCGAGGTTACTAACCGACCTGACGATATCGACTCGGAACAACCGACCGACCGTCGTTGCTGCGCCGTCGGCACGCGCCAATTCCGATCGATCCCCTCCCCTCCTCTTTGTTCCCCAATGACGAGTGTTGGCATTGTTGTCGAGCCAACTTATCAGCTGCGCGTCCGATTTTCAGTTGCGCCGATTTACCGAGAGTCGTTTTCAATCGAGTTAAAAATCGAAACAATTTATCGTCAATTTCTTCAGTCGATAAAAATGTCACAAAAACAGAAGGGAGATAACAAAAGCAATTCGTGTTCAATTTTGTGTGCAATTTGTTTGTATGTAGAATCGCGCGTGTGATAAAAAGCACATCCTGCGCGCGCAGCTGTGGCAAGGCTGTGGTGTGGCCGACCGTTCGGCGCCTCACGATACGGTGTATATAATAAGAGAGTATAAAGCGGAAACGCATCGAACGAGAGCGTTGTATTTTTGGACTCGTCTCACGCTTAACGTGCTATTATCGCGAAGGGAAGAAATACCGCGGCGTCTCTCACAAATAAATGTCATCGAAAGCGATCACACTCCCGCAATCGATCCGCTATGTTTTTAAATTCTCGAAAGCGAGAAGCGTGGAAACGATTCGAACGATTAATCGAAATAACATGTGAACAAAAATAATAACAAAAGAAATGAAAAGAAATTCGATGTTGCATTCTTGATCTATTTGTGTTGAAAAAACATACCTTATGAGTTATTATAAATTGTTTATTTTATAAATAAACTTACTTATAAATACTTATAAATAAGTTAATAACAATTTGTTTTTTGTAAGTTAATCTCGACGCGCAAGATAAATTGAGTGACTCATCTTTTAAGTAAAATAAAAAATTAGAAACAAGTATGCTTAATGAAATTTTTTCACACTTATCTCTCTCTCTCTCTCTCTCTCTTTCTCTCTATTCGCACCATCTGTTCTACAGGACACTGAAGGGAAGATAAGCAAAAACCATCTGTTCATAATTATTTATCATTTTTAATGTAATTTGTATAGTAGCATAGTATAATATCAATTAAATAATGTATTAAATATTATATATATATTTTTTTGTATGTACTGTATAACCGAGTAACAATTCAGACGAGACTAGCAAATAGTGACCCTCGCAGCGCTACCCCTCTTGTAATCCTTGGCGCAAAATTAGAATTATTTGTCATTTCTCCTGTTACACATTGCGAATTAACACGAACATCTTTTTTTTTTTTTTTTTTTTTGTTTTATTCCTGTCACATACATTTTATATTTTTCCTCTATTTCAGGATTACTTTTCCCGAAAGAATCCGATATTACAATTGGTTTGTTCTTTTTCGCCGAACTAGTGTAACCGATTCGGCGAAAAAAACAGAAAACCAAATTTTTTTCATGATTGATCACAAATATAAAGGGAAAGTCTACTCTCCTGAGTAAATATAAAAACTTACTATTTCATATATATATAAATACCAACAAATTAAATAAACAAATACCAAGCACAAATATAGTTATCGGTTATTTTAAAGGCACAGGCAACGATCAGTAAAACAGCAACCCGAAGATACTATTGAGTGTAAGTACTTGCTTTGTGTGTCTGTGTGTGTGTGTGTTTTTTTATTACTTTTAAAGCAGAGTGGTTACATAAGCGCCGCAATTGCATTGTAATCGCATTATAATTCAACATAATTCGATTAATGTCCCACTCTGTTTGTTTTTTTTTTTTTTTTTTGTTTCTCAAGATATGTCAAAGATGAGACACTTATGAATTAATTAATAGCAATATCGCTTTGCTAAATCTCAACAATCTCGACTTTCGAGACTTTATACATTTAAATACATCGATCTATATGTGTATATTAGAGAGAGATTTTATTAAATACAAGTTGTACAAAGCGCGAATTTAATTTAAACATTTGCATAAACTTTCATTCAGCCGATGATATCCTCTCTGAAATAAAAATTAACCATTCAACAGCAGATCACGATAAAGTTGCCAATGCCTTCAAAATTGATGAACAAGTGATTGATTCTGTGACAATAATATGTGTAAGATACGTAGAAGATATTTTACAGTCGTATTGTGATAGCGTAGATTTTCTTATTGAGACGAGTAAAAATATTTTAAACGTCATTTAATCTTTCTCGTTGTTCTAAAACGAGAGACACATTTTTTTTTACAGATGTAAAATTCTTTCGCACGTCTGTGGCAGAGTTCACAAACAAAACAAACACTTACATCGCGTATGTCTGTTCCAACGAGACGATATAGTTTTCATTGTGATGATGCTTTTGTTTCTTTTTTTTCTCTCAAAATCAATTGTCGCGCACATGTTCACATGTGTTTTCAACCACGAATCTCATTACGCGATCGTAAGCAGCAAAATATCTACCTAAGTATCTTACGTCACAGAATAAAAAAGGAAAAGAATGTCAGATACCGACAATATAAAGGCACGACGGATTTTCGATGCGTCGTGTTTGCGAGAATGGCGATTTTGTTATTACTCGACTCGATGGATTTTTTTCTCGACTGAAGACCGACCAGCTCACGACGCGACGTACCGAACTCGCCTTAACAATGATCGCGCACTGACAATCAGATAATTTGTTTTTGCTTGTTTTTTTATTTTTTTTTTTTTTATTTTTATTCATTAGAAATTGACGTTGTGCAAAGTATCGATGTACGATGACGCTAACGGAATAAATTGTGGCAATATGCGCGTTTAAATTTTATTTCTAGTGAAAACATGCAATGACGATCACATCACTATCTAGAACTCGATCGATTTCGCGATAGTCAATGGTTTACAGGACAACAAGGAATATAACATTGGTAATGCGGTAATAATTATTACTGTAATAACGTGTCTATGTGTTTGTGTGTGTATGTGTGTGTGTGTGTGTGTGTAAATATAATCTTCCAGCGGTTTGTGTATATGTGTACATGTATGTGTGTTATATGTAAGCACGCGCACCAAGTTGTAAAGCGTACTTACACGCGCTGGAAGACAGCTCATATCTGCAAGATTTCCGTTCAATCAAATCGGTAACCAACACTCTTTTTTAAAAATCAAATATTTATATAAGCGGCGCTGTTACTCATCAATGATTAGCAACATCGAAAAGGCTAATCGAGTGGGTGTGTAGGTAACGCTTTATCAAGGAGGCTGAGCAACGAGGTCGAAGAACAAATCGCACCTTTAAATAACGCTCTGTAGATAGCGGCCACTTCGTGTTATGCTGATCGCGATCATCGACCGGGCCTGTTCTGAGCCGTCAAACAATCAAGCGGCATATGCGGAGTACGACAGACAGCAACGAGAGAACTGCTCCTTGTGCTGCGGAATTACGCGATAGCAGAATACGTAGCATTATTATCAGTAGTCCAATTTGCGTGGCTCTGTGAAGCCAGTACAGTCTGCAACAGATAATTGAAAGCAAATTTTGTAGGGGACATAAATTGTTTTTTTTTTTTTTTTTTTCAAAACTAAATATTAAATTTACTTTGTAACGTATGAACGAGCAGCTGGCAGTGTGTCCGGATTCTCCTTAAGGATGAACTGTCGTATTCCCAGAATGTACTGCTCCAGATACAACGGCCAGTTAATTTGCTTAACATCGAACATAAATGTTTCCCGGTCTTCCGGACTGAGTTGCTCACTCAGTTGTCGTATGTTGTCGTCTCTAAAATTCCATTGTCTAGTGCAGAAGTATTCCAAACATTGGGAGGCTTTGGAGAGTTTTGACTGCAGGCGGACCATTATGGGCCGCGAGCCCTTGAGCCGAGCGAATATATCTAAGATGTGTGCGGGTAGCTTGTGTTGTAACGTCGCGCACAATTTGTTTATGAGAATCGAGTTGTGGACGGTACCGTCCGGATACCAGAGCACATCGTTCGCTGGATGTATACGGCTGTATTTGATCGTCAGTTCAACAAATTCCTTCCAGGTGATGGGATTCTGCAGGCCGGTGCAACAGTTGTAAATCGAAATGGTGTCGGTGCGTTGCGTGGCGGTTTTCCATGCCGTGCATATCATCAGATTGATCACTATGTCGACGGGCACCAAATCCGCTACTTTGTCTGCGTGGCACAGCATAGTCCTGCATGCGAGGTTGCAGCGATTTATAGGGGGTGATTTTACACGCGAGGGGAGAGGGGATTTAAAACTAATACTGATTGCAATACCGGATCAAAATGATAATATTTATGCATTCCGATATATGACTTATGTTGCTTTTTTTGTAATACAGATAAATTGTTGTTTTATATACTGTTGATAAGATTGGCATAGCAATGACTCAATTATAATCGGACCCGGTCATCGATACCTAAAGAAGCCTTTCCCGGCGGCGGCGATAATTCCGGTAGGCCCGTTGCAATTGTCCACCCAACCGGCGACCGGTTCCCTATACGATGATATCACAATCGACGGTCTGACAATTGCCACTGGTAAAGAACCTTTTTCCCGTTGGAGCAGTCGCTCGGCCAACGCTTTAGAAAACGTATACGTGTTTGGTCTGCCAGCGATCAAGCGCGGTGTCAACTCCTCGACCATCTTATCGTCCATCCATTGTGTCAAGGCAATTACTTGTTCGGGTTCCTTGTCAACTGGATAGATCTCCTCAGCGACATCGGTCCGGTCGCAATTGCAATACGCTGTTGAGACGTGAATAAGTGCCTGCAATCGAAAACTTGCATTTGTCGCACGTTGTCTCGGTTCGCGAAAAACACGAATTGTGATCACAAACGTTCAAACATCTTGCCTCGGTGTTAATCCAACATGCGCTTGTAACACAGTAATCATGTAGAGAGACGTGTTTATGCGAGAAACATAAAATTGATTTACAAAAGAAGAGATAAAAGTAATTCGTTCTTATTCAAAACTTTTGTTTCTCTGTTCTTTTTGTTTTTTTTATTTTTTTTTTAACTTGACTTACATTATCCTCCGCTACCTCTACACAAGTTGTATAGAAAGAAAGTGTAGACTCGCCCTTCCCTCCCCCCTGGCTTTTATAGTATCTAATTTCTGTACAGTGTTCGATCACACAAAACAATCAATCTCGTCTAATCCATTCGGCTATGAAACTTTGACAGATTACACTGTATCTTGTTTTCGAATTGTAAACAGTGAATGACTTACGTTTCACACTGACATCTATATTACACGAAATAATACGGAACTGTGAATAGAATTGAAACTGGACGATCGGAGTGAGTGACGCGATAACATCGCGCGAGTGCAGAATTACAAAACACACTCGTACATAAATATCGGTTCTATTTACCTTCCGGAATTTGCAGACACGAATTGAATGTATTTCATAAAAGCAGAAACTTGGACAGAATAGCTGTTGACTAATTAAAAATCGATGACGTACGCCACGAGTAAACGTAATAAAGCGTTCGAAAGAGTCTCAAGATGTTCACACAACGCTGTGTCATTCAATGGAGCAGAGATGTAACCTTTCGTAGAGGAGAAACAATGTTGTAAAATTTCTTTCGTAGAGAGTTTATACTTTCATAGAAAAAACAAAAAGTGATTGCTATAAGTAATGCTAGTGTCCCTAAATAATCAACTTCAAGAACTCCGGTCCGATCTCGGCTTAGCGCAACAATATAATACAAACAAAATCAATAATACAAACAGAAAGAGAGAGAGAGAGAGAGAGAGAGAGAGAAAGAAACAAAGAGAAAGAGAGAGAAAGAGGGAGAGAAAAACAAACGTTGTTTTCTTCTTACCTCCACGTGACGCATGCGATGACACAACTGAATCAATCTTTTGGTGCCCAATATGTTTATGGTAACCGATAGCTTCAGAGCCTCGTCGAATTTTACAGTAGCCGCCGAATGAAAAACGACTGATACGGATCGTATTAACATTTCCTGATCGGCTGGCGAGATACCCAATTCCGCTTCCGTTATGTCACCAGCCACCGGTATGATCTTGGAAAGCTCGCCAGGAGAGTCCCGTTGTAATTTCTCAAACAGCTGTCGAAAGAGAAGCAATAAGTGTTTTTATTTTTCGAAATTGCGGGGGAGAAGAGAGGGAACGCGGAATGTAAAAGAGAAGTAGGAGTCATTACCGGTGCGTTCAAGAGTTCCTGCAATCTTTGCTGCACATCCTGACCCCGCTTGGGTCTCATTAAAAGATAAATATTTTTAATACCAGGACACGATCTCAATAACTTCTCGACGAGAACTTTACCCATGAAACCCGTACCGCCGGTTATAAAAATCGACCTGTCTCTGTAAAATTCCTTCACGGGTGTGTACTCATCGCCAGTCATCATCGTAGCCATATCAATGATCTGTTGATACAAACGTTTATTCGTCATAAAGAAAGATAAGAAATAATTAAAAGTCAGGAATAAAAAAGTGAAATTCCAAACTGGTTATCAATTTCTTGACGTGAAATCACGGACATATATTCAAAGCAAATGTGTGTCCTACCTAAAATCACTTTCGTCGAGTTATTATTATTTTCGTACACAGTCGGATTCTGACCCTAGTATTTCTGATATTCTGCGTATGACAAATAAAGTTTTATTTATTGTCTCAATCTCATGTATTAATTAATATAAAAATTGAAACAATATTATGTAAATGATAAGTTTAAATATAAACGATAGTTGTAATAATATTCACATAAGCAGCATTAAAATTTGAGCAGCGTAAACTTGTTTATACAAATAACTTACGTCAGACTATTTTACATGTAACATTTAATTGAATGACATGTTACATACACATATTGTGCTTACCTGCTAACAATCGTTCAGTAATTCGTCCGATGTTTGTTTTTCTTAATAACGACGTCTCTTCGCTGATTCTTGAAAAATAAACAGAGTGACGGGAAGAACTTTCAAAGGCGAGATTGCGATATCTGCGAACGATGCGACGTCTCCATTTGATGTGTGATTTCGTACCGCGATTTTTCGAACGGCTTGTGATCGAATACAGAACTTGTCGGATTCATTCCGCATTCCTTGTAGGTGCGGTCTTATTCTCTAGAGAGAGCAGGAAACAAGCAAAACATTTTTCTCGTTACATAGGTGTAATTTGATGATTACTCGCGTGTTGATTTATTATTATATTTTCGGAGAAAAAAAAGTCGTTTATACAAGTCGTTATAAAGTTTATATCTGTTTGTGTATACCAATCAATAATTATATATGATATTGCGACAATCTCATATTGACGTATACTAATTACAATAACACGTTTCAGACAAAACTATCTCCAGTAGTCGGAAGTTCTCATCATATTCGGAAGGACCCGGAATCGGACTGAAACCGAACCATTGGTATTTTGGTAAAATCAACACTAAAAACTGGTCCGAAATATTTATAAACTTGAATAGATTATAGATTTGAATCGTAACCGGATAAAAAACTTTTTCTGATATTTGTTTCGAATATTCCGAGTTTCGGTTGGTTGCACTTGATGTTTCTCTCGCAATATTCGAATATAATATTCTGCAAATAACGCCATCTCTCACTGGCGTGAATTCTAACAAATTAACTAAAAGTTAAGGCCCATACAGTTTAAAACTAATCGAGAAATTTAATTAAATTTAGGTGATACAAACATTAGTTAATTTAAACTAGAAATATATAGACGGTAATAAGAGCTGTTTGGTGGATGTTATGCAGAAATGATTACCGTCTATGTATTTCTAGTTTAGAAACTTTAGAGCCTAGAGATTCTCTATTAATTAGTTAATTTGTTTTGTTTAATAAACGTGCAGTTTTTATAATATGCAACTTATTATACTTATTAAATTATCTTTTTTATTCGTTAAATTTTGCAATAGATAATCGTAACTGTAACCGGAAAAAACCGAAATCCAAGCGGTTACGGTCACCGTTATCGATAAAAGGATCGAAACCGAAACCTAAACCGAAAATTAGGTACAGCATCGGATCGTGACTATAACCGAACCGAAATGAAATTTCGGTCCGAGTTCCTGATTTTCATTTTAATGATACTATGATCTACATTGCTGAGTCTAAACAGTTGAGAGACATTATCTACATATATGGTAACGTTAGACCATAACAAATATAGTCATCCTATTTTTTTGGTCGAAGCATCCGAGTTAGCTCGTCGGAAGAGCGCTGCTCTATTTTGAAATCATTATGAAAAACAATTTTTTAATTAAAAATATCAGAACTATACTTTAAATTGAGCAAACTTATGTGAAAATCAGATGAAAAAGAAAAAAGTTTTACTTATTTGTTTTTACAAAAAGTATTTGTAGTTCGCAAACCAGAGTCGTTCGTGTCCGTTCGAAATTTCGTCCCTGTCGAATTTTTATTAAAGATCTGAAATTCGGCCGTTTTACATTCACCTCTTACACAATTGTTTTTAGGACAAGGTCGAGCCTCTTTTCCTTCTCTTGTCTGTAAATTACAAACGCAAGATTTTGCGCAGACATATGACTCTGGTTTGGAGTTTGAGATTTAATATGTAAATATTATTATATAATCGCATAGTTACACATAAATTAGGAAAGTATATAATTATTTGAAACCAGATATCGAATGTGTTATGTTATGCGGAACTTTTTTGTCTTTTTTTCTTAGACAAATCTACTGTTACTTAGAAAACAAACTTGTTTGATGTGAAGATATTATATAAAAACTACGATTGACTACCGTGTGTTTTAAATGATAAAATCAAAATCATATTACGTTAGTATGGCAAGACCTGCAACTAAGCAACAAATCGCGCATAATCTTGTTCCACTTTTACGTTCAACTTTACGTTCAACTCCGCATGTCTGTATAAACAAGGTGTCCCAGACATTATTCGCAGACTGGGAAAAACATAATGCATAACATGATTGTATGTGTCAGAAGAAGCACCTTTTTTTTCTCGCGTCTGAGCATCATATTTTATAAATGAGAACTTTTAGATGACAAACGAGCGCTCTAGATTACGCACGAATCAGAGACGCGCGGCGTGCGTGGCGCGTAAGCATGTACAGAGGAGTGCACCATATCGTGCCGCGTCAGAGGAAATATTTTTCGGAAATTTCTCCCCTCCAGCTGGTTCTACTACCGCGCACCGTTTTCCTTCGGTCTCTGCCAGCGGCCCGAGATCGAAAGAGAAACGACGTGCGGTAGTAGGAACAACCGGAGTAGAAATTTTCGAAAAATACTTCCTCTGACGCGGCACGATATGACGCACTCCTCTGTACTTACGCTATTTTGATAAAGATGAATTTATACGAATTACGATATCTTAATCGTTATTTTGAAACAAAACTTACTTAATAAGAGAAACAATTTGCTCAGACGCAATTCTGCGAGAAAGAAAAGTTGCTCCTTTTGACACACACAGTCACGTTATGCATTTTTCCGTGTATGCGAATTCTGGGACACCCTGTATACGTACACATACTCGTAAAATCGTAGTGCACTGACATGGTGAAGACCGGCCACACGTCTATTGATATCAGCGATAGTAAAATAAAATAACAACTAACAAAACAATACGTTAATTCTCGTACATACGTGTATGAATATTACTTTAAGTCCCGTTATTCTCTCATTTGAGAAAGTTGCCTCGTCGATAAATAAACGAATCGATATCTCTTCAAGACATCGATCGAATTCATTATTGGTAACTCTGCGTGAACGGAATATTATTAATGGAATTGAAATCGCGAGAGTTTCTTTTTTTTTTAGAAGATACGAACGCTTCACGAAGATTAAATATTCCGCTGTGCGATTACGACGCAGCGATCGCAATTGTCAATTATACACAATGATGTGCTGCTCCATGATTGTCGCTGGCTCGGAAAGCAGAGTGTATAACACGAGAGAACGAAGAGATACGAGATCGATAAACGTCCGTCACGAGAGGGTGTAAAAGCGCCGTCTTGCCAACCGATTTACGGACGATGGCGGTTTAACAGACCGTAAGGAGGTTACGAGGGCATTCGGTTTTTTTTTGTATTATCTTAAAAAAAATTATAAGCTTGCGCGTAGACCCACAAGGTTTGATTATTCTAACATACTTTAAGAGATATTTCGGCGGGATTGCGTATCGTTACATTAATCGTCCGCACGTGTGTATGTGTGTGTAATAAAACTCTTTGTTATTCTAATTAAAAACGTTTAAGAGTCACTAGTAACAACAGAATGTTCGAGTGGAGCGACACTAATGAAACGTATGTATTTCTTTCAAAAATTTCTTCTTCATTTCAGTCGTTTCATTTTAATGTTCCTTTTAATAAAGTTATTAAAAATAAATCATGTTTTTCTTAAACGAAGGAATATGAGAAAAATACAATAAAATCAAATTATCAACTTATTAAAAACATTGTGAATGAATTGATTTATTAGAAAAAAATCTGTAGTATTTTTAGATACTTTGTCACGTGGTAAGTTAAATTAATGTCTTCGTTATCTCGCGTGCTATCGGTGCGCGAGGCGTGTTACTTCATACACGGTGTGGCGTTACCACTCGTATCATCAATTGCTTCGCACAGTGGCGTCATCTTCCGTGTGTGGGACGCATATTATAAATGCGGAAAGAAGAGCACCGGCAAAAAATAATGACGAAAAAATCTCCACGAAAAAAACAAAGAACGCATTGATTCCGTGAAAAAACAATCTATGATCAGAAAAATTTGGAACAGTAATGATTGAGAATAAATAAACACGCTCTTAATAGTTAATTTTAGCGCGACACGATATATCGCGCTATATGCGTGCGGCTAATTACCGGTGATATGTTATCACGTTACTGGCGTGCAGGTTCACATATGACATTTACGTAATCACCGCGGTTCTCGAACGCAGGTCGTCACACAATATCGCACAAGTCACTGGAACATTACTCTTTGCTTGGAAACGCACAAGAACAGTATTTTTTCCACACGTTTTTTCAAAACAGAAGAACAAAATAAAGTACATTTTTCTATTTAAAAAAAAAAATAATAATATTGTATCTAAAAGAAACTTTGACATAAAAAAAGAGAAGCATAAAACAGATATTCAAATGTTACGACTTTTTCATTTATGCATATTTGTATATGTAAATCAAATTCCGTAATTAACACATAAATAGTCAGGAAGTGTTTAACAAACACACACACACACATACAAAAAAGCGAATAAGAATCTAAAAAATAATTATATACGCGCGCTTGCATTGTTCATATTAATCAACGAACACATAAATTTTTGCCAGAGAGGCAATTATTCAAGTAAAAAAACAGTTTGACAAATGACGTACATGCAGATTATCAGCAAATTACGGATTCACATTATTACGTAAAATAGTATAATTAAAAATTTGTCTCGTTGAATTTTGAGAATTTTCAAATAATTCGAATAATTTCTCTCACGTGTTCACATCTTTGTTTTCTTAGAATAATACTTTCTAAAATTTCTAAAACTGACAGGAAGAAAAGATATAGCGGAAAATATAATATTTTACGAAGTAATTTATAAAAATTGGTCGCGCGCGGAAAAATCTCTCTCTTTCGAATCTCTCCTATCAAATATAAACAGGACAAAGTTACAAGAAACACTTTGTAGCAATAGAAAATTCTAGGTCACTGTCTTGACTTACATAGATGCAACCGCGAAGAGAAACCGAGCATCCGGGGAGTCCGTTAAGAAAACCCGTTAGCGACGAGCACGAAACGCAATTGCAACCACGGTCACGATCGCAACCACGACCGCATGACCAATCGATTACCAATTACCTCATTTTTTTCGGCTATCACACACACACATACACACATATTCTCTCTTTCTCTCTCTTTTCCTTTCTTTGCTTTCTTCTCTTCGTTTCCCAATTTTTCCTAACAACTATCGCGGGCTGTTATCGTCGATTGATCGCGGATATCACATTTCGTTTTCGTGCAACTTCGTGGCAGTCAATTGCTTACAGCAAGGTCAATTGCTTATAGCAATTGTTAGAACTTATGTATTTCATGATGATGTAAACGCTCACCAAGAAGTGCAAATACGCGAAGGCATAAAGTGACAAACGAGCACACAGACTTTCCAACACCAAATTATCATTGACAGCTTACGGCGAAACTCAAACTAGATACGGCTTCCCTCGCGGCTTCAGCGAGGACAGGAAAGATATAGATTATATGGATTTATCGGATTGTGTCCGTCTCTCGTGTAATGCCCGCCTTTCCGGAGATCAAAAACGGGATAGAGAGAGAAGACCGTTCCGACCATACGCCGAAGAAACACGAAAACTTATCGCGCTATATATACCATTTAATTTACTTTACTTCGAACTTTTGTGATAATCGACCGATAACGGGCTTCGTAGTATGCTAACGTTATCGTTTTTTTTTTTTTTTTTTTTATCTGATTCATTGCACAGACATATAAGCTTAGGTTTCGCGAAACGTCAATCGAAACGAATCTCGTGTCGTATCGCGACAACTTGAGATCCAGTGCTGCAGCCTCTGATCGCGGAAAAATGCGAAAAGGAACGTTCGACAGTCTGCGCTTTTTATTTTACTTTATTTATTTTTTTTTTTATTACTATTCGCGTGTGATTTTTCACGAAATAAAAATTTGTATCGCGTGATAATAAGACACGCTGCTGCACAACAGCTCGGCTATCTAATAACGATCAGTTTATGTTTTTCATTCCGTCTTATGCATCCGGTGCGCGATGTGTGTCAGGAGGTTATTGACTTTCAAAACACAATTCGATTAAGAATTGTTCCACCTTTTGACAAATCTCAGTTTAATTGACAGGTTATTATCTGTAGGATGAGAACCTGACCAGCGCATCTCTCTCTCTCTCACTGTTTTTTATTTTAACATATTTATCTGTTAGATACGACTTACACAGTACCGAGAGTGCCATGTAATTTATCATTTGGTTTCTAGTCATTTATTAGATGTATACATTTTACTGACACGTGAAACAATGCAAATCAGAGTTTTACCCATTAGATAGATTACCCGATACTTTATCTGAAGGTGGAACAACCGGCTCTAAGAAAATTGTAACGTAACATATCTAAATCATCAAACGATCTCGACCGAATGGCAAAATATGATTTTTTCACATTTTTTCCGTGTTTGATCTCACATTTCTTTGCATCCACGTCCGCAACCACCGGGCGAAAATTAAATTTGCATTTACATATTCACAGAAAACGCTGAAAGCGAGACAGACTCAACGCAAAATTTGAGCATCATCCATGTGTTTTCTTTCGTAGATGCATATTTATTACAAACGCAAATATGCTTGAAGGTTACATTAGACATAAGCAAATAACAAATTCGTAATAAAGATTTTTTTTTTTTCAGAAAAAATGGATGTTAAAGTAAATAACTTAGCAGTCTCGTTGTTAGAGTCTGTATATTTTTACTTTTAGCGCGCGTTTCTTGTGTTTTATCGTTTACACAGATATCTTTACAGAATTTCCAAATAGGAAACGATATTACATTAGTATGTAACAAAAGAGCGTCTTTCTAACTAATATTTGTTGACAGATAACATGGTTAAGTGACGTTTTTCCTGGTAGTGATAATCACCGCAATATTGTATCACTGAATAAACAAAAAAAAAACACATTATATTACATTATAAAACACATTATATTATACTTATAAAACACTTATTATATTTTACCCAAAAATACTTAGTAATGTATTCGATTGATGCTATTGACATATATTAATTTTTTTTTTTCAAGACGTCCACTTTTTTCATTCAAATATTTATTACATAATAGTTCTTGCATGCAAAAAATTGTGTAAGTTTTATAACCAACTATTTTTATATTTTAACTTATTTATACATTTTATATTTTACTTTAATAAAATATTTACGTTGAAAATACAATTTTTAATTAAACTGGAATTTTGTTAGCTTTAAAGAACAATTGTTTCAATTAATAAGTGATAGCATATGATTTGTAAAAGCAATATGCATAACAACTTTTTCCTCAGTGAAACAAACACAATGACATACGAGATCACATTATCACATTTTCTTTCCCCGCGACCTTCCGTGATCAAGTCCGATCAACGATAATCAAGTGTGGTACGAAAAGAATAACGCATCTCTTCTCCATTCCCTCATCAGCAGCAGCAATCTGGCAAACGTTATGTCAGCAGATTGCCACCAACTACAGGCAAAACCGCACTATTTTGACAATAATTTGTTTGTTTTTGATCGATTTTGCTTATCTGCACTCATAAGTACACATAAGCGTTAATGCCTTTATACACTCTTCATTACACATTAATTACACTTTAAACGCTGTTACCGTATTGATTGAGATCGACCGATCGCGACTCAAAAAGGAGTCACTGAATCTCACCGCGTGTGTTCGGATGCTATCGTTTTGCTTTTCTCGCGATTTATCACGAAAGAAAATCGAACTTTTGCTTACCCATTGCTCTCACTTTGCACTTGTAACCGTCTCGATTTGTCACTCTTGGAAAAAACGAAAAATATCATACAGAGAGTATCAATTACCGCGTCTGATTTCTTTTCGATGAAGATAAAACGCGTGTGCGAAAAGAAGTGCGCTGACTCTTTTAGTAAACTGGTTTAGAAAACAGGAAACTATTTAAACACACACTGCGCGTAGAAACCACCTCAAGCTCCTTATGGTTATCTGTGTTGTAGAATGTAACATTTATATATACTGCTCCCACTACTCAACGCAATACACCTTACTTCTCCCATTTTGCCTCACCCTCTAATTCGTCGTCGCCGTCGTCGTCGTCATTATCGTTGTTTTTGTCATCTATATTTATTATAAAAACATGGTTTGATCAGATATATCCTACTGTAACAAAAACTCAATATAATAATATAAATATTAATATATCTAATATATACAACACATCTGATCGCATAAAATTCACAAGCAGTTCTGTCTATGATTTTTTATGTAAAAGTCGTTGCATTAAATTTAATCTTTCGCCTGCAGACCTCAAAAATAATCTATGAGTAAGACAGACTGAGTCTGTGAGACCCAAGCGAGATTAAAATCAAATATCTTCGCGAAAAATCAATATTTTTCAATTTTGTTTTCTTGTATCAAAAGTTTAAACAATTCTGCGTCAAAAAAAAAAAAAAAAAAAAAAAAAAAAACTAAATAAAACCAAATTGAAAAAAACAAAACAAAACAAATAGAAAAAAATCTCTAGTAATTTTGAAGATATAAGCTTAAAAAAATGTTTTTCGAGAAACATCCATGAGCAATTTTTAAATGGGTTTGAAAGAACCCATAATAAGAATAATTGAATAATAAGAAGTCATTCAATTCAATGTAAACATGTTACAAGTGGCTGGTCAATAAATATTCCATGAGATCAATAAATATTCTAGATATATTCTTTCTTTATAAATGTGCACAAAAACCTATTTTGTTGCATGGAAAAAATTTGATTTGTTGTGAGAGTTGTAAGAAATGATATACATGACCGGCAAAAATAGCTGCTAAATCTATTGTTTGTTTGAAATTTTTTCTTTTGTTTTGATGAAACAATAACTTGAGTAGATTCACGGACTTTTTTGCTGATCACATGATGGAAGATATATGTTTTTTTTCGTATGCGGAAATGACTATAAAAGATAGTTTTTTGTGTGTCACGTTATATGTTATTACTTGTTTTCTATCGTTGAGATTTACATTTTAATTTAAAAATAATTAATTGCGGACTTTTGTTCAAACAGCGTTAATTGTATTGACAAGAAAAGATGAAATTTTAGAAGAATATTTCTTATTCTGAAAAACATTCAAGTCTGAGAGAGAGTTTGTGAGAAACAGCTTATACAAAAGTGTGTATAAAAGAATAAATAAGTGACGCGACACAAAGGTTAAATTATTCAGCACTAAGAATAATATTATTGCATCAGAGTTTGAAAACATCGTGTAATGTAAATCGAAAAATTTAAATTTAAATTTATGAAAAATGGCGTCGATTGCTTTCAAACGAAATTGAAGCTTTTGCAAAAAAAAGACACACGTTAAAATTATAAAAATAAAATAAATAGCCAATACGCAAACAACAAGGCTTGTTAAATGGTGTGATGTTTTTTTTTGTATTTTGGAAGTCATCAAAAACGTTTTTATTCTCACTAGGTTCTTTGTCAATGATTAAATATATAACAATAAGTGCAATAAATAATACAATGACATTATAGGAATAATATTAAGATAATACAAGATATGTACTAGAATCAAGATTTGAACACGTGTTGAAAGTCAAAAAGTCACGTAATGTTACAATTTTATTTGTTATCGAAACGTCATAAAATCGTTGAGAGATTATCACTTGCGATAAAAAAAATTCATCAAAATCTATCACGGGTTTCAAAAGTATTATTCAATCGCAAATGATAATCTCGCAACTGTTGTATTTTTCTTCAACGATTTCATTTTACAAGTAAAATTGTTGTTTACAAGTAAAACTGACGTCATGCTGTGTCCTATCTTTATTTAACAAATCTATCAAGACGCCTTAAGTGCCTTGTAATCAACAGAAAAATCAGTTACTTTACACGTGTTACTTACTCAAATTCAGATATATTATGACGTTTCGATTTTTCATGTGACTCTTTTGTTTTTGACCATCTTTTAACATGCGGTATGTCTTTGGATTTTTTTATATAAACAGTGTCTCGTTGTAAAATTCGTAGACACGAAATGCATAACGTGATTACATGTGTCAGAAGGAGCAACTTTTGTCTCTGACAGAATTGCATTTGAGCGCTATTTTTTAAATAAGAACAACTTTTAGCTAATGAATGAGCGCTGTAGGTTACGTATGAATCGGAGACGACGCGAAAGTACGTACGCTACTTTGATAAAAATAATTTTATAAAAATAAAAATAAAATAGGTAGATTAGTTACACATAAAACGTGAATAATTTTAATTTTAAATTCCTGTTCCAATGTTTTAAAAATGTTTGTGATTTCGAAAAGACCGTCGGAGCAACAATGTTGAATCAGTATTAATTTTATGTCATTGTATCATTTGAGTATTACATTTAATCACCGATGAAAACTCTAGTGCAATCAATTTAATGACTTCGAAATATAAGAAACAAAATCTCAACAATTTAACAACCATGTTACCTCGCGCTATTGGATTACTTTTCCTATTTACGATTTTTTGTTCGTTACACTGATTAGTCTCAACTTTTAGACCGCCGGTACGACATCATTTGGCATCATCAAATAAAATGTATATTTTTGGAGGTTTTTTCTTTGTGTAGGTGTGTAATTTATTACTTCAAATTTCCATTTATGCGCTCATATGCACGCATATTTATATTAAAAACATGAATGTTGCAAGTCGAAAAAAAAACTAAAACTTTTTTTCTTTAAACGAAAAGTTGGAGAATAAACGCGAAATTATCTGAAAAAGATGGAAAATCCGTCTGAAAACGCAGAGATGAGTCTCAAAAGATCTCCGCTTGTCATAGAGACACATGGAAGTGACGCGTTATGTACCTATCGATCAGGTTTCCCCGCGGACTTGCTGACACAAGGATAAAACGACTTATTTTGTCACAAAATTATGAACAATCAAATGATGTAAAAAGTTTAGTAAAATTAGCTTGTTAAAATATATATGGCGTGGCACATGGCACACGCAATCTATACGAGAGAGAGAGAGAGGAACATACATGATAAACTTTTACTATTTACTTAGCCATCTACGCAGTCGGACACACTTTGCGTACCGAAAACCGGTATGTGAAAAAAACCAAGTTTTTTGTCGCTAAATTACATTACACTTAAGGATTCATAAACAGCATGAGAGAATGTTGACTGAATAAATTTCGCAATAAATTACTGAGCAAGTCATAATAAAATAATTTACAAAACCTATAAGCATAAACAGCGCAAAATAATCAAAAATTTTATCTGCCGTGGACCAATTGTGGTAAGACGATACCTTGTTTACGTGAAACAAATCAATGTACATGTATATGTATATTTATTTATAAAAAATACCAGTAAAAACACAATGACAAGTGGATAATAAACGGGCGAGGCGAATTTATGTCTCAACGCGACGTAAGTCTATTCTGCTCGAATTCGACCTTGGCGCGGTCAATGGTTTGTCTCAAGATTTGACGTTCCTTGTTCTAACGCATTTTTTTTTCTTATTGCGACAAAAATTAAATAAACGATTACGTCGACCTTGAGCGTGAAAGCATAAATTATGTGGGCGAGCGCATCAGCATAATGTGCACACACGCGCGTAGTCTCTGCAGTCGCGGATCTTTAAACCGGAGCCACCTCATTGAGCGATGGTAATTTCAACGGGAGGTTCGTTCGATAGGAATGTGCGATAGATTAATGAGAACGACGATTTTATAATTTGACTCGGATTTGATTGGAGATGGTCGAAAACAGCGAGAAAGACGCACGAGGTGCGCGTGCCGAAAAGAAGTAGTGAATGCCTTCAATAGGCGCGGCCAGAGGCGCATTGGCTGCTAGCGGTGGCGACGACGGCTACGGCGATGACGACGGTGGGCCGCCACCGCCGCCGCCGCCGCCGCTGCCGCTGCCGCTGCCGCTGCCGCCGACAGGCGGCTTACCGCAATCCCCGTTGTTTCGTGTCGCGCGTAAAACAAGGTCACACTTACCTGTCCGATCCAACGTACTCCCAAATCCCTTACGACATCCACACCAAATTGTCGCGAGCGGTGGCAGTATCGCTTTAACACAGAATCGCCGATTTTTCGTATCCTCGCCACTTTTCAGCTAGCGCCTTTCGCATGCTAACCGAGTCCGCCATCTTCGCCGAACTGCCAAATACCCCTTCAGGCCGGCCAACCGCTGCGCGCGCGGAAAATTTTGCTACATTCTGCGCATCTCGTGTCACTTCGTACGGTTTCTACGATATATAATGCATATATATATATATATATATACATATAATATATATATATGGATCTATGTATATACAGTTTGTGGCCCTTTCTGTCCTTTGCGCAAGCTTACGCGACGCTGTAACAATTTTCTTACGTAAGTCTCTATCGTCGCTCTAACTCAAAATATTTTTTTTTTCACATTACATTTGCACATACATATAATGTGTGCATACCCCGTAGCATATTATAAATTCTTGTTTTGTAGTTTTTAGAAAAACGCCGTGTTTACGCAAAAAGTTATCGAGCAAAAGACCATCTCCGTTCTTAGTATTACCCGATTTATCATTCTCTCGTAAAAAGGTTGCGAGTTATTCTAAATGACTCAAAACTGACCAAAAAAACTGATCAGTAGAAAGTAATAAACAAATATCTAAAAAAAAAGCAATTTAGACACCTCTCTTTGACGTCATCTTTTAGAATGTTTTTCTTGTGTTCTCTGCGGTCATATAATCTCGCCGTCAAAACAAATTGAAATTAATTATTTGACGTTCATCGGCAATGTGTGTGTACGCTTGAAATAAGATAAAAAACCTTTCGTCATTTAGAGATTGACTAAGAAAACATAGTTTTTGCGTACACACGCTTGTGTATTACGCGTTAAGAGTTCGAAACCTTGAATTTTTCTTTTTTTTTTTTTTCAATTTGATTACACTATAAAAACGACATGTTTTGAATGACGAATAATTTGTTTCCGGAAAATTCACACTCTCGACGAATTTGAATAAGATTGTGCAAATGTTTACCGTCGTACGTCTCTTCTTGCGTAAAAAACCGTATAAATGTTTACAGGGAACGTTTGTTCTTCGTCTACAAAGTGTACATTTGTTCTAATCAGATTTGCACACCACAAGTGAAATAACATGCATCAACTATATGTATATCTATATTACATATATATATATATATGTATATGAGTAACCGCGATGAATATGTTATAGTCAAGTTCGCCATTTTTAGTCATTATTGATTACTGACGTATTGAAGAAAAACTGACGTGATCTTTTTGTATTTTCCTCGAACATATGTCTGGACTTTTTCGGTAACTTTTCTTGATAGAACTAAGTATTTTTAAATTCTTTATAAAAACTAAATATTTATTTATATTTGTTGTTGATACATGTTATAATTTATCTAAAAAAGCAAAGTTTGTGTGTGTTTTATATGTATGTTGGGAAAATTTTTAATTTCTCGAGTTGTATTATCACTGTCCAACATTATCGACCGACGATAAATTTATTTTCTACATTTATCTAGCAGCGATATATGAAACATGTCTCAAAGACGTCTGAGGAATAGGAACATGCATTTTCGACGGAGCAAAAAAAAATAATAGAAATGGAGTAATAAAAAAAAAAAATATTGCGTGTTTTCCAATTAGGGACACAAGTCGATACAAGTGAGTCATTCTTATCTTTGTGTCTCACTGAATATTGAACTAGGACAGAATGATTCTTGTGTCGACTCGTGTTGCTAAGTGGAAAGCACCCTGCGACTAATGTGGAGAAGTAGTCCCACAATCGTATTTCGTTTCATTATTTTCACGACCGAGTTCTTCATGACAGAAGATTATTACGCAAAGAAAAGAAAGAAAGAAAACGGAGACAATTCTGAAACCTTGTTTATGCAGATCAGAACTGTTAGATTATAAAATATACGTAATAAAATGTTTATTCATTAAAAACTATAGCATTAAAATCTTGTTGGTAAAAATTTTAAACCGGTTGGTGGTTTTTTTTAAACGGAGACATTTCGCGGACCTTGTTTAGTAACAAATAAACATATTGTGTTGTGAAAATACATATTCTGACATGTAATAAGACATGTTATTTTTTTGGACAAGAAGCTGAAAAAGTCGCCAGCTTAAAGCTTACGACGTCTATTGCAGATTTAAATAATTATAGATTTGAATCGGATATGATGTGAGATCGACCTTTGGTGTCTTATTACATGCTCTATATCTTGCCTCTCTCTTCGAAGTGCGAGAATAATTTTCTCTCTTAAATTCCTACTATTAAATAGAAAGTGTCTCCGACACGAAGCTATTTTTCTTACTTAATGGAATCTTATGTAAATGCCACATGTGACAATTTCTCTCATTCTAATGTGCGACTCGACACAAGAATAACATATCAACAAAAATATATATATATGTGTATATATACTATCAGCGTTTAACATTTTAAATATAAATATATACATCAATATAAATAAAAAATATACATATTACATAATATGTATTTTTCATATAATGTGTATAGATCAGCTGCTAATGCTCTAAACAAGTTGTGAATGTAAGTTTCTAAGATTTTTTCAACCGTAATATATTTAAACCACATTGTAGAAAGCGAAAAAAATATGCGGAAGATAAATTGCTGCGTAAACAACTGCAACACGGACGCACAAGAAATAACAAAGTGTATATATATAGATACTTACCCGATAAAAAATTTTCCATGTATAAAATTGTATGGACATATTCGGCACACACACATATAAATTTGCATAATTAGATATAATAATTTTAATTTGTGTATAAGTATATATGAAAAATTTTTTACCGGGATAGTAAAGTTGAATCAACATTATGAAGTAATTCATTAATCAACATTAATATTACAATGTATAAATGTTTTAACTTAATCGTTATAATAACTATTAAAAGATCTCTTTTTGTTGCTCAAATAAATTATTTGTAATTTTATCAGTTATTAATATTCATGTATAACTAACATTCATGCATTCCGTATTACGCATGAAATTTTATATGTAAATAAAGAAAAAATATGTAAATGTTAAAGCAATTATCGATCAATTATGTGTAAAACGGCGAGCTAGATCACAAATCAGCAAAAATAAACTAGATAATAACATCTTTGTTAAAAAATGTTGCAAAATATCGCGAGTACAAGATAAATCGTCTTGAATAATTTATTTTAAGAAAAAAAGAATTTTCTTTTTCCGAAACCAACTATATGTCAAGTAATTACATAACATAACTGGTTTTGCTTCATTATAGCGCACCGGGCTTGCGTGCACGAAACGCCAAGTTTCCTTTCTTTTTAGGCAAAAAAAAAAAACCGAAATCTTTATATGTAAGTTTTGAAGAAATTTCCTATTATTTCTCTATTATTTGTGATCTATGAAGTTGCGATCAAGGATTATGTATTTTAAATTTAATTGATGTCCTTATAGTTGTTCTTACTTCGCTCTGGAAAAACACGTTATCTTCTTTTTTCATCACCATGCAAATAAGCGTGTTGTTGTAAGGTAAACCTGGTGTTGCGCAGTTAGTAGCGCAGTCACTTGCTTAATATACAGTTGGAATGCTGTGAAAAGAGTTCCCATCTTGAGAGGGGCAATTCGAGGCGAATTTCGTGTCGCTCGTGTTTCGTGCCATCACTGCCATCAGTGCTGATCGTGCTCTATCTGTGTTGACAGTTTTTCGTCTTTCATTTATCTGCTGCAATATTATTCGAACCACTTCTCGCGCGAATGCTACAAATCCTAGAGCATTGGCAGTATTGACACGTCTGAGTAAGTATCATTCGAAATCGACGTGTATCGCTTTCAAAAAAAAGAGTTAATTAAAATGTTAACAATTATATATAGTTCGTTCTCTCGTGATTGCACTTTTGTGCTCTTTCTATTTCTTTCCTCTTCTTCTGCTTAATATCTGTGTTTAGACTGCAAAAACAAAAAAAACAAAACAAAATACTTGTCACATAATAGCTCGTCTTCTAAAATTTATATTTGTTTCGAACGCAGAAAGTAGCATAGTGAAAAACAGTGTCAAAAAACAAACATCATGTCGTCGCAAGTAGCGGATTTCTACAACGAGAAAAATATATTTATCACTGGTGGCACTGGTTTTGTTGGAGTCAGCTTGGTGGAGAAACTCCTGAGATGTTGTCCCAAAATTAATAACATTTATTTATTAATACGACCGAAGAAGGGAAAGCAAATCACAGAAAGACTGGAAGAATTAACAAAGAATTCGGTAAGTAATGTGTGTTAAGACACAATAGGATTGTTTTTTTTTCCTTGAACTGATTGCACTAGTTCACAGTCTATGTTTTTTTTTTCTAATATGGATAAAAAAAGATAGACTTTGAACTAGTGCAGCCAGTTTAAGGAAAAAAAAACAACAACAAACCTAATATGTAATATCATAATTGCTGTATCATAATTTTCTTTGTGTAGGTTTTTGATAGGTTAAGAGAAGAGAATCAAACAAACCTGTTCAAGAAATTGATTGCAATTCCTGGTGACATTGGCGAAGACAATTTAGGTCTGTCCTCAGAAGATCGAACAACTTTAATAAATAATATACAAGTTGTTTTTCACTCAGCTGCCACATTGGACTTTGAAGCTGATTTGAAAACTACAACAAATATTAATTTGTTGGGAACACGCAGAATCATTGAACTCTGTCGGGAAATTAAATATCTCAAAGTAAGATATGTGATAAATTGTAAATTAATTTGTGCCAAACTTTACTGTTATAACTTGTAAATAAACTTGTGTATTTCATATCTGTTGTACAGGTGTTGGTGTATGTCTCTAGCGCATATGTCAGTACTATGTGGCAGAATGTAGATGAGAAAGTATATCCTGTACCAATAGATGCAAATTCACTTATAAAATTGGTGGATACATTAGACATTGCAACTTTAAATGAGAAAACCCCAGAGATATTGAATGGCCACGGAAATCCGTATACTTTAACTAAACACTTGGCTGAACATGAAATAGTGAATGCAGGATTTCCAGCAACTATTGTGCGTCCATCAATGAGTAAGTTTATGCTTGCTTTTATCCAACAAATACGTTTTATGTATATATTTTATATATAATTTTTGTCTTTTATCTTATTGTTAGTTTAAATTTGATATTGTGTATTTAGTAATAGGAGCATGGAAGGAGCCAGTTCCAGGATGGACAATATCAAAAAATGGTCCACAAGGTTTTTTAATGGGTGCAAGTAAAGGTATTGTGAGAAGACTGCCAGTTGCACCTGATCTGATTTATGATTACATTCCAATAGATATAGTAGTGAATAGTCTAATTGTCTCGGCTTACAATATCGATCGTGATAGGTAATTTTAAAAGAAATATCAATGAACTGTTTATTGTCATAGAAAAAAGACGAGAAAAATGTTTAAATCGAACGTTCGCGTAAATAATTTCAGTGATCAGGGAGTAAAGGTGTATCACTGCACATCCAGCACGTGCAATCCTTTTCGTTGGCAAAACGTAGAAAAGGATATAAACACAATACTACACAAGTATCCATTGCAGAATGCAGTGTGGTATCCGTACCTCAAGTTTTTACCATCGATCTTTTTGTTCAAAATCTCGGCCATTTTTGTGCATTTTATTCCCGCGTACATTTTTGATACAATTATAGGGTTATGCGGTGGCCGTCGAATGTAAGTTTTGATATATCACAAACACTATATATATTCGCATCAGAATTGTGTATATTTAAAAAAATGCAAATATATTTTTTCAGTCTTGTTCGTTTACATACAAACGTCAATAGCTCGTTAAGTCGCCTTGAAAAATTTATCTTTCAAGAATGGAAGTTCAACAATCCACGTATACTCCAGTTGCATGAATCATTGTCGTCCACTGACCAAGAATTGTTTACGTTAGATATTAAATCGTTAGACTGGAGAGACTTTTTTATAGGCTTGGCAAGAGGTATCAGGACGTATCTACATAAGGAATCTCCGAACTCTTTACCAAAAGCACGTTTCAAGAATAAAATGTAAGCACATACTTTGTCTGTGTATCAATGTCTCATTTATCGTGAAACTAAATATTGCAACTTGATTGTATTGATCACATCATTATTATTTGTATTTGCAGATTGCTATTTGCTAATCTGGGTGTACAAGCTGCTGTATTTACGTTGATCTGGTGGTTGGTTAAGATATCCTTGGGTACAACATGGACAAAAACTGCTATGGTCGTACCACTAGTATATTTGCTTTTCAATCAAATATAAATGTAACGTAACGTCTACGTACAGCCTCTTCAATTATGCATATATTAGATTAGTATTGGTCCATATTGACTTGTTTTATACTTGGTCCATGTATAGGATGACACATGACACTCTCTATTTTTCGAGAGATCACTTTTATTAGACTTTTGTATGTCGAAGCTCTCAAAATAATAAAAACGTTCAATCACATTTGAATTAATCGAAGAGGCGGGCTTCAAAAAGGCGCACGTGTCAAAGAAACCTACGGTCAATGTAGCGTTAACGATGCTTCGAGAAAACGTTCTATCTTTATCTACATTCAATAAAAAATAAAAGTAGAATGATGTTTCGGAGCATTTTGTAGCGCAGCGGTCGAAGTATGGTGCTTCTCCTGTTCTATATTTCAAGAAAACCAATAAGCATTGTACCATATATTCTTTAACTATATATTTGGTAAAAATTAACAATAACAAAATAATAATATTTGCTATATAAATCTCGTGATTTATTTTGTTTTTAAAAATATAATAGAAAAAAAAAACGCTTACGGCTTAATAAAGTCGGCTGAAATTTTTTCACGTGAAATAGGAGATGTGCCATATTTATTAGCATTTAAATAAACATTTATTGTTTATTAAAAATCTGTTTGGGTATCTTTTGGAGTTTTTTTACAGGATTTTTGGGGGTAGTTTGGGTGGTTTTTTACTTGACACTTATATGTTTTAATATATATCATTCATTTTAAATGTTTTGTTAAATATTGCTTGCAGTATTAAATATTTGTATTTTACATCTTTATATGTATACTTATTTTGGATTTATCACATAATAAAATGCAACTTTGTATGCAGCTATAATCAGCGTTTAGTTCTTATTGACTTTTTTTTATTATCATTGAATTTTGTTGCAGTTTTACCTGAAGTGCGAACTAATAAAAAATAAATGTGCGGTATTAATAACGCGATCATTCATTTAATTTAGCAACAGTATTAAAATTAATATTGCCCCTAAGATTTTCAAATATATTACTGATGTTAAATCCAAGAATGAATAGTGGAGAGAAGAGAGATGCCGAAAATGTCAGTGTTACAAATAAAAACAAAAAAACCAGAAAAAAATATAAATATAAAATATTAATATTAATATAAATATTATTTATAAATATTAAAAATATAAATATTATTTATGTACAAAGAAATATATTTTTATGTTTGATTGCTTTCTTTTGAGTCATTTTGAGATGTCTCTGCACGTCCATTTACTTAAATAAATATCTTACATTCGGAAGAAATCATGTTTGTTTTGTGACGAACAAAATTCTTTGTTAGATCCAAAGTACAAACTTTTGCATAATGCATAACGCGTAAGACATAAGAAAATCATTCAATCCAGCCTTCCATTTTTGTCCTTACTTCTCGTCTTAAAAAACTCTGATTCACGAGATCGTAATGCAAATGTCGTTATTTTGCATTTTGCTTGCCTTTTACTGCATAATTTTTTTTATAGTATTGTACGTAGTGATCTCGACTCGAATACAAATCAATTCGATTATATATTTTTTCGTTAAGTTGAACACAGTATGTATATAAAGTATACACAGTATGTATAAAGAAATATAAGACTATTTGTTTTTTTTACATACATACTCATCGTATTAACGCTAACGAAATAAAATGAAAATTAAAGCCAGCGGCAATTATATGCAAGCTCACACTTCTTCTTTTTCAATATCACTTACACATTCTTTTTAACCTGCGAAATTACTGGGCCGTCAAAAACTGTCTGATGTTTTGAAGTTAGTGGCACTTAGTTAATTGTTACATTAGTTTTATGACATATCGGCTGCTTTCAGCAGAACTTAGCACGTGAGCTAAGCACTTATTATTTGTAATTGTAACTTGTTTTTGTAAATCTATTGCAAATATGAAAGTATATATTGATGACAAGCAATAATCACAAAGCGCGTACTAAGCGCTGAGGTATTTGTTTTGTAAAATAAATATTAACTATGTGTTTGATACATTCATACATATGCATAATATACCTGCTATGTATTACATATATAGTTCGAGATATTTAACTTAATTTCTTAGATATTTCAAACCTATTGCGTTAATTACGTAGTTAATAATAATCTCTTCTACTTAATTGTTAATTGAATTCACCAATTTGAGAGCAACTCTTTATAAATATTAATTTGTTAATTCACACCGGTGAAAGTTCATCCTATATGAACTTAGGAATTGAAAATTCATTTCAAACTCACGTGTAAAAATTTAGACAAAAAGAAACATAAATATATATAAATTATTCCGCAGCAAGAATTTGAAACGTAAGAGCCTAAACTTTTCATGAATTGTTAAAACAATATAATTCTTAAGAGTTTCATGCAAAACTTAATAATAAATATGCATTTATTATTAAGTTTATAAATACGTATTTATTTAAAAATGCAAATTCCAGTGCCATTAAAATAGAGAATTAAATCACTTATTTTAATTTTCTAATATAAGAGGAAGGAAAAAGGAGAATGCGAAGAATTCATTATTGCCTTCGACCATTTGCTTTGGAAGGGAAGGTGAAATCGAGAAAAAGAGAGAATTGATCAAACGGTCAGTTGTCCAACAAAGTCTAGTCCGACACAACCTGCTCTGAGAGACAGAGTTCCTTTTAAGTGACGTTTTCTTGTGGTTTCCGAATTGTTGGAATTTTTATTCTTATTTTTTCGTGATTTAAATTACTATTTTGAAATTTCCTGTGTATCAAAAAGTTTTTGCAAATTTCATAAGTTTTTGCAAATACAGTAAGTATACGTAATATATATCTCGTGACACATAATATTTAAATAAGTAATAATAATCTCTTAGCCACAAAGAAAATTTTCTCAGAAATTTATAAGTTTTTTATATCTGAAATTTAAAAATAAATTTGAAACAAATTACATATACATTTTTCTTTTTAGAGTAGAAAGTGAGAAATCTCAAAGTATTTCATATAATTTACATGTATAAAAAACTCGGAAAAATTTGCTCCCATTTATTCGGAACGTTATTATTTTTTATCTAAGAATTGTTCAAATTTGTAATATAAAACAAGTTTAAAAAATGTACTAAATATTGTAAACAAAAGTTCTCTTTTTGAAAACGAAACATTCTGGAAATTGTTTTCACCACAATATTTTTTCTTTCGGTTCTTTTATTCTCTTGTTTAAACATGTAGAAAATTGTAGAAAATTGTTTTACTGGAATTCTGTGAAACACAATTTCTCTTAAGTGGCTTCAATAGTGTTTTAGTTTTTTTTATTGAACCGCGAGAAAATACATGGCAAACTGTCACTGCTTTGCTTGTATATCTTTCAGTTTTTAAAATGGAAATAACCCAAAAATTCTCCTCGATATCTGATTGGTTTTCCAATAAAAATGTTCTTGTCACCGGAGGTACCGGATTCATGGGAAAGGTTCTAATTGCTAAATTACTGATAACTTGTCCCGATATTGGCAATATCTATTTACTAATTAGAAAAAAGAAAAACATCGATTCACAGACAAGATTGCAACTCATACTGCAGGTATTACAACACGTCTTGTTATGCATAAATGCATATACTTTCTTTTTAAAATATTGTTATGTTTTTTATAGATATTTTACTAAATTTAATACGTTTTCTCTGTCTCTCTCTCTCTCTCTCTCTCTCTCTCTCTCTCTCTCTCTCTCTCACCAAAATGTATTTCTTAAATAAGATTTATCTTATGTTTTCTGTTTTTATCAGTTTTGTTTTATCTCAACTTTTTGAAAAAAAGAAATTACCCAAGTATGTAAAAAATATATTACATATATTGCGTCACGGTTGGCTTCGTTGCAATTTCATAAACTTGACGCTATGCGCGTGTCCTTTGTTAAACTTTCAAATAATTACTAAATTACTTCATTAAAAACAGTGCATTAACATGAAATCAATTCGAATATCTTATACACGCACAAAATCTTATATAAATTAACATTTAAAATTTAATATTTATTTCTATTGAATTTGCAAGCATTTAAATATAAGTACAAAGTGCTAAATTGAGAAAAATTGAATTGCAATGTATCTGCAATGAGGAAGCGGTGAGTTTTGTTGTGTACAAATAAATATCAGATTTTTTTTTTAACGTGCTCCTGTATATGCACATATATTTATGTAATATAAAAACATGTAATTTATGCGCCATTAAATTATCGGTACAAGTGAAAACGTTCGATAACCATACGTACTACACGCAAAAGCATACGCGTTTCTGTTGAGAAATGGAAACGATCTGCATTACGATTTCTTTAGTGAATGCACTATCGTTAAAATAACTTCGACGAATAGTGAAGCAATGTGCACAACACGCAATACACCTTTCTTGACATTATAAGGTGTTGCGATTATTCACTCGTGTAAGTCGAGATTTATTATAATTCGAAATATTTTCCTCTCTCTTCCTCTCTCTCTCTCACTCTCTCTAACATTGTAATGTTTCATACTGGCTGTTTATAATGATTATCTGCTAAAGGTGTTGAATGTGTTGCGACATCTCGTATGTGTCGCTACCTAAGTATGATTTTTTTTTAATCTTTAATTGCTTTTTAGTGGGGATAATTGATTTTTTTTCTAATCTTTAATTGCTTTTTAGTGGGGATAAAGATTTTCTTTATACCTAGGTATAGTAATATACCATACTAGGTAGCGACACATACGAGAAATACGTCAATAAGAGATAAGAAAATCTTTATCCCCACTAAAAAGCAATTAAAGATTAGAAAAAAAATCATACTTAGGTAGCGACGCATACGAGAAATACGTATATATACGTCAATAAGAGATAAAAAAATCTTTATCCCCACTAAAAAGCAATTAAAGATTAGAAAAAAAATCATACTTAGGTAGACACATACGAGAAATACGTCAATATATCATATATTGACGTATTTCTTTATCGCTTGTAGCACTAGGCGATATTATATTATTATGCAGCGACATTGCGTAGATAAGCGTGTTTGCTGTTATCTTCTTTGACATCACCGCGCAAGTAAATAAAAAAATTCGTGCTGATCTCTCACAATAATAAACGTTTATATTCAGTTTTATAATCATTTATATTCATTTGTTATAGTCATTTATATTTATATTGTTTTATTGTATCGCTCGCAATATGAATATTACGACAAAGGATCCGAGACGACGTCTTAAAAAGTTTAGTGAAAGTTAGAGTAGAACAAAGTGCGTTACAAAAAAAAGTTTTACAAAAAGAAGCTACGTCATCGTGTGATGAGTGTATATGCACGTAATATAGTAGGATATTCTCGCGGAGAAGAATTAAACATAATCCTTGAGACATCGATATATTGTCAAAAATTTTTAAATTACCTCATCACGTTTTACGTAAATAGAAATATGAGTTTCGATAAAACAAACTTTTATCCTTGAATCGTGCTTTGTTCGTCAGCGCGCATTCAATATTTAAGCATTTTGTTTTTTTACTAATACCGTCAAAAAAATTTGCTTCAAACAGTTGTCGAATAAATCAAAACAGTTGAAATTAATTAATTTCTCGTGCGACTTTCCGGGAGTTGCACGTTTTTTGACTTCTCACAAAACAGGTTTTTTGAACAAAACATCGATGACAAAAAATTTCATTTAACAATTTTATTATAAAAACACCGTTAATTGCAGCAAGAGCCATTTAGAATTCTTAAAAAACAGCATCCGGAGCGATTAAAGAAACTGATAGTGATAAACAGCGACATGGTGGAAGACGGACTTTCTCTATCTGTCACGGACAGGGAACGTGTCACCAGTCGAGTTTCCGTAGTTTTCCACATGGCCGCTAACGTTAGATTCGATTTGTCGCTGAAAGACGCCGTCAAAACAAATACCATGGGCACTATGAATGTCGTGACGTTAGCAAAACAGGTGAAAATCAGATCGGATACGTTAATCACGTCGTTACTTATTAAAAAATAAATATATATGTATGTACGTACATTCGTGTCTATCTTGCAGATGCCTATGCTAGAATCGTTCATTCACGTTTCGACGTCTTTTTGCCAATGCGGCGAGTCCGAATTGGAAGAACGTGCTTATCCAACCAACGTTTCGCCGGAAACCATCGTGAACATAGTAAACGCGATGCCGGATCAGACGTTAGAGATAATACAACAACAGTTGTTGGGAGATCAACCGAATACGTACGCCTACAGCAAGTCACTCAGTGAGAACTTTGTGTCGAAATGTGGACTACCCGTAGGAGTTATACGACCGTCAATCGGTAAGGAGTCCTTTTTTATCCGATTGTTTTTTTTCTCTTTTTTTTAAGTGAATATACATTATAATATTTTATTATACATATATTCTGTTATATATATTCTATTATCATTAGCAGCGATCGCTACTTTCTCGATTTTGTAGTGGGAGCCTCTTGGAAGGAACCCGCGCCCGGCTGGGTAGACAATATGAACGGCCCGACCGGATTAATTGTCGGCGCGGGTAAAGGAGTAATACGATCTATGCTCTGCAACGCGAACTTGTCAGTTGACATGATACCCTGCGATATGGCAGTAAACGCCATAATCGCCTTCGCCTGGCACGTTGGAACGGAGAAATCCAACAAGCCAATATTTTTAAACGCCACGGCGAACAAGGAAAATCTGATATCGTGGGGCAATGCTTTAGAAATCGGCAAGAAACACACGCTCAACAATCCCTTCTCGCGTAAGAAATAATATATCAACTATGTTAATTCAAGTTTACATTTTTTTTGGTCGATGAAACTTGATCGCTCGTTGTTTTCTCGAAATTTATTTCAGAGCTGCTTTGGTATCCCGGTGGGAGATTAACTTCCTCAAAGATATTACATTGGCTCGCCGTTATATTGTTTCACATTATACCCGCTTATTTCTTGGATAGTCTGCTACTTCTGACCGGAAAAAAACCCTTTTTAATACGAGTGCAAAATCGAGTGAAGACCGGATTAGAATTGTTGCAGTACTACACCATGAAGCAGTGGATCTTTCGGCAAGAAGCTAAATTTATTACAATATTTATTTATTTATTTTGTTTTAAGTTCTCAACAACGCACGTCTTTCACACGTTCTCGGTTGTGCTGATAATCAATTTAATTGCAGCAACGACAATCTGCGCGACCTGCAACAACGATTATGCCCATCAGATAGAGATACATTTTTTATGGACACGAAGTTATTCAGTTGGAACGAGTACGTGTTGAATTACATTTTAGGTGTGAGACAATACTGTTTGAAGGAACATCCGTCAACGCTACCACGCGCGAAACGGGTTTTGATGTATCTGTATCTCGCCGATTGTCTGCTCAAATTACTATTCGGAATTTTTATCGTCTATTTGATGTACACCTGGATGTCCTCTACTAAATCTATTACGGCGACACTGATCTAATATATGAGGAACGACAAGAATCAGCTTTTGCCCGAACAATTACTCCTTAGTCTATTTAAGTTTACTTAAAGTTTTAGTCTATTTAAGTTTACTTAAATAGACTTAATTAACATAAATATACGGAACGAAAGATTGACAGTAAGGAGTAATTGTTTGGGCAAAAGCCGATTCTTGTCGTTCCTTATATATATATATATATTTCGTTATATAATATATATATATATACATATATATATATACATATATATATATATTATATACGTATCTTTATATATTAATGCCATATGATATGTATTATTTGTAATTTCGTCTCATCATATATACTAACTGTTTGTTTATTATATTTGTTTATAAAATTTAATCGATACTTTCCAACGCAAATGTTTAAACAAATGGTTTATCAGACTTTATTTTCCACAACTTGATGTATGTATTCTAATAAAACACACGATATATTTTACACATGACAACGTGTTCGTGCTTTGTTGTTCGAGCGAAATTAAAAATTAATTTTGATTCGAGATTTGTTTTCTCTTATGCGATAAGTTTTCACAACATTGTAAGTACTTTGTAATCAAAGTTTTTAGAAATATACTTTTACACACTAATAGAATGTTTTATATGTAAATAACTTAATAATTACATAATACATTAATACATGATACTATAATATATATATATTACATTAATACATGATTTACTTCATAATTACTATCTTTTTTTTCTCGTGTGAGGAATGCACGTTTCCGAGATACAAAGACTTTATAGACGTTACTGCGCCATCCTGTCCGTGTACATTTAATGAAAAAAAAAAGATAAAATGACGTTTTAGAATACTCTCCAAGAGATGATGTAAGAAATAATCTCCGTGTGTTACATCTTTACACAATGAGACCTTGGAGTGTTGCTTAATATGTTTCTGTTAGAGTAACGTTTATTCTTACCTGATGCGTTACTTTCATGCGAAAATTCGGAAAATTACATTCACATTTTTAATATTAAGTATTATATTAATTATTTTATTAATCATTATATTAATATTAATTATTATGTAGGTTTTGTGCACATACACACAAAACTAATTAAGCACGTGTGAGATTTCTTTCTCTCTCCTCGCCCCGATCTTTTTTTTTTTCATCGAATACAGAAGACTAATTTCCTATATATAAGCAACAACACATAAAAAAAAAAATGATAAATAGACGATAAAAGAATTTATGTAATAATGCAAAGAAAGTTTTACACAAAATATATGTAGCAAAAACAAAACAGAGAAGGAGTTATCGCGTATAGACTAATAACAAGTGATCGAAAATACAAATGCTTTTCTGTCGCTTCAATGTTCGACGTTGGTCGGTGTGCTCAACACAATTTTCACTTTTTACATAAACGTTCGTCAAGAAAAATGACACACACAGAGTAATAAGATAAATAAATAGCGTTTATACATACGCAGATGACACGACTCGCTCGTAAAAGAACTTTCGTCATAGTTCGCGTGTATGTACCTGGTCAAATGCTGTTGAATGAGGAAAGAACGAGCTGAGAGAGGAAAAGAGATGCGGAGTTACGAAAGTTACGCTGCACATCTGAATGTCTTTAGTTCAGAACGATCCCGATCTGAAAAATAAAACCTAACGAGAGAAAAAACTATACAATTATACGTAAATAATACACGATACGTTTACTTTGTAAAAAGAAATCCTCAGTCCGCGGTGTTGCTTCATAATGCAAAATAATAAAATTAAACTTCTGATCAAAGCTGACATTCTGAGTATTTCTAAAAATATATATATTGGTGATGTTTTAAACATAAACTTGTTTACCCGGAAACAAACTTGTTTACAAAATCATCAATAAGAGTTTAAATAAATGTTCTTGGTTATTGATTTATTCAATAGTTATACGTTTCTTGATTCGGTTGAAGCAAACAAAAAAGAATTAAAATTTAACAATTAACGATATAAAAATTACGATGATGATTGGCATACTAGAAATGTAAATTAAATAAAACACATCGTTGCTTCTTAATACAAAATAATAAAATTAAACTTCTGATCAAAGCTGACATTCTGAGTATCTCCAAAAATATATATATTGGTGATGTTTTAAACATAAACTTATTTACCCGGAAACAAACTTGTTTAAAAAATCATCAATAAGAGTTTAAATAAATGTGTTCTTGGTTATTGATTTATTCAATAATTATACGTTTCTTGACTCGATTGAAGCAAACAAAAAAGAATTAAAATTTAACAATTAACGATATAAAAATTACGATGATGATTAGCATACTAGAAATGTAAATTAAATACAATGATGATTAGCATACTAGAAATGTAAATTAAATACAACACGTTTTTGGCTACATATAGTATTTTGTTTATGAAAGTTATATAATTTGTTATTCATTGAATAAATAACAAATTATATCTGAATGCTTATTTTTTATTTACTTCTAGACTTCTAAAGTTTGTTTATTTAAAAGATTCATTTACACACATGCATATACATCATATATCATAATATATATATACATTTACAAAAGTTAAGAAACAAAGTAGAGTAATTTTAAATCGCTGATCAATAGGACGTAACACATTATTTCCTCTGGAGTTATTTCCGAATAAATTTAATTTACTTTCATCGCTCCGCAAAGTTTTTTACTGCTCGCTAATATGTAATAACTCAATTGAATACACACGTAATAAAAAAAAATCAAAAGTGACCGATTGGCAAAAACGGGAACTCAAACGAAACAGACATTCTCGAACAACAAATTGGAATGGCGATGGAAATTTCTATATATTTTTTTCTTATGGTCCGCACAATATCGCTTGCATGTACTTCTTCGGCTGTAGCCTAAAGAAACATGCGAGTCTTGTGCATTACGTAATATTTAGGTAAGTAAAACGCGCGCGCGATTTGCTATAAGAATGAATACGAAAGCATTAAGTGCCGGATCAGCAGCGGGGTAGTGCGAAACTTTCTCAGTTTCTGCTACGACTGGTTTGCCATCACGACCGAGCACGAGCAATTCCAAGCCGGAGGTGCGCCAGTAGAACACACTACACGGAACGGTCGTGAACAACGTGCGTGGACTCGAATCTCAAACGTCGTCCGTGTCTCGTCCGACTGGTTTTTTCTTATGGTGAGTACACACAATAATCGGTTTATCGTCTTAACAACCTACGAGAGAGATTCTTTCTATCAGATACGTACATTATTAGATCGTTTTTTTATTTTTTATTGCGCGTGTATTCAATTGTGATAATTATGTAAAACAAAAAATAACACTGTAAAGTGTTTCATTTTATGTCGGATTCCGAAAACAAAAACTAAACTTTCACTCGAGAAGAATTTTTGTGCAGATGTCTTCACGTGCGGCAATTTGTGTTGGATAACAATAGCAAAATTCGCACTGACAAAATAAATGCGCATTTGTATTCATTTTAGAGCGAATTACCTACTGCAATCTTTTTTATCAAAAACACACGTATATACGTTTTTTATTTGTTAACATCGGAATGAAATAAGATGTCAAATCTTATAGTTAATCTGCTTTTTGAAAAAAGTCTAAAACACAAAAACACAATTGTATCAATTTTACAATAAATATTAAAACTCGTGACAATGTTCAACTCTCTGATTTAATGTCAATGCGAGCCCGTGTATCGAGAAATGTGCGTGCATATGTATTTTTGAATGAGTACATTAATACACACACAAAAAAGTCTGAATTAAATTCTCATATATATATATATAAATCTCATATACATATAAACAACGTCCAATTTCTTACTACAAAATTTTAAATCAAATTTAAATCGAGTTCCTGTAGATGTTACTTTACAAACATATGTATGCGCATGAGCATACGACATTTGGATCGACTCGTATTGATTTTTAATCTGACAACAAGTTAATTTTGTGCTTTTGTTGTAAAAATATTTATTTTTCGTGAAAAGTTCATTGTTAAAAATAATAAAATTTATTCAAAAAGAAAGGGTCACACTGTGCAGTTATAGCTGAAATTTCGAGAGAAATGGAATTCATTATGTTGCAAAATAAAACTGCTGTCATGGGACATTTTGCAAATCAGGTTTTCGTTTGCTCAAATAACGTCCCGCATTAATCACATTGAATAGTGTCAACGCGCGTACGTTTATACGCTTATATCATAGATTTAAAAAAAGTAATTAGTTTTTCATTTTTCAAGTTTGTTAACAATGGCTAAGTGTTCAGGCTCAGATAAAAAACCTAAGTTTAAAAATATAAAAACAAGTTATAAGACAAATAAAGATGTGTATCAATTTAAATTGTTGAGATTACTCGTTCCCGTACAATAACAAGTCAGATTCGTGGCGCCCTAACGGAGCAAGCATAAAAAAACTAAAAAAAAAAGAATAATCCATTTTGCGAGAAACTTCACCCTCTGCCATGGCTCATGTTTTGTCAAAGTACGCATATAACCGACATATTCAATATAGATCAAAGGTTGCGAGAACAATCAACTTCTATTCTGTTTGCGTCACTAACAACTGAATTATTCCGTATTTAAACAAGCACCTTGATAATATATTTGCAATTATATTCGTGCAACACGCGTTCTAGATATTGCTTCCGTTCCAGCTATAAAAAATACTTTTTACACAAAATTTGCGATGATAGGTCGCATATTTATATTGTGGTGTTATTCACTTTAGTAATTTTTATATTTTAGAAGAGACAACAAGAAAGAGAAAAAATAATCATATTTTTGAAAAATTAACTTCGCACATCATAATGGAGCAAATCAAAGTGGACGATGTAGAACCGGACAGAGTGGCCGAAACCTTCGCCGGTCGTCGAATACTGATCACAGGAGGAACGGGATTTTTAGGAAAAACTCTTATTGAGAAGATTCTGCGATGCTTACCGGAGACAGCGCAAATTTACATGCTCATCAGAACAAAAAAGAACAAGACTCCTAAACATCGAGTGGAGGAAATATTCAATTCTGCGGTAAAAACTCTACTATAGTTTTTAACATCTAAAACATGCAGGTAGAGAGAGCGAAAAAGAGAGAAAGTTTTCTATAAATTTTATATAAAAGTTTTAGAATTCTTCACTAAAAATAATGTAACAAATATGCACGAAGATAATTACTCACTAATTAACAACATTCACTAACAAATTTGTCCAAAGAAAAAATAAATTAGATTAATTTAAATCTAACAAGATAAAAAAATGGAAAAATTAGATCCGAATTAAATCTAAATAAATATACGTAGACCTATCTGAATTTACATTTTTATTTATTATTAGATCTTCTTTAGATCTATTCAAATACTACTATACTAGATCTAATCAGATCTATTTAAATCTAAACAGATCTGAACAGATCTGAGGTGATGTAATATAATAAATCTGAGTAGATGTAATACTAAATGATAGCGTGAATATACATAGATCTATTTATATTTATTATAGATTTTCCTTATATATATATATTTAGATCTACTTTATATCTACTTAAATGTAATTTGAATGTAAATAGATCTTAAGAGATCTTGGATTTTTCTATTTTTCTTATCTCGGTAGACGTAAATTAGATCTAATTTATTTCTTTCCGGGTGTAAAAAACAACTTATTAATTTCTGTAAAGGCAACTTTATAAGTAATTATATTGCACATATATGTGCAATTGCGTAGCTGATGAATGCGTTTCTGAATGTTCCGCATCAAATGCTCACTTTTGAGTTAAATTCGAAGAATTCTCATATCGTCTCGGTTTCTCTACGAGAGCATTAAAAAGAGAAAGTGCATGACTATGACTTTGCCAAGTTGCGTTGCATCATAGTTGCGTTACGATGACGATAATATGTGGAGCAGCAATAGAATCATATATTCGGCAACGCGAGCGTTTTCTTTCTCCGCGCGCGCACGCTTTCTTTTGATATTGATTCTTTAAATATGTAAATTCGTCAGTGAAAGCGCGTGTTACCTGGAAAATCAGCCATGTTACTGTCTATGTAACGAAAGGAACCGTGTCAAAGTAAGTCAAGGCCTCGTCGAAAGTAAGACGAGAGAAGAGATGACTATTAGTATCGTTTTTACTTGTCCCGGTGAAAGTGCGAGTTTTATGCCGCTGTTATGTCACGTCTCTCAAATTTTGACGCAACATTGTACAGTACGCTTCTTACAAGCGCGTAAACACTGTATATATATACACCTGTATATATGTTCGTACCATAAGTTAGATATCATAATACTTGTTAAAAACAATTTATTTGTCGTTACATTCGCTTTCCCCAGACTTTTATAATAAAACTCATTTTAAAATGACTAAAGCAACACGAACCACGTCCTGAAACATTGTGCGACAACTACACATACACGCATTACACATTATATACCCATTTTGGCATTAACATAAATTTCAGATACAATACATAATAACAGTATTATTAACAGTATACTATTAACACAAACATAAAGTAAGATTTGCATAATTAGTCAATATTTAATTTTTTATTGTAATGACGTAAACATATTGCAGAGATAACATTATTATATAAAGAGACTTTTTATTACTTAACTCACAAGGTGTTGGACTGTTACTACAATTGACTTGAAACTTACAGATTTTTGATAAAGTTAAAAGTCAACGGGGATTACCAGCGATTATGAAAACGGTAACGATTGTGAGCGGAGACGTGACGTTGCCGGGACTCGGTTTATCGCCGGAAGATCGAAAGATGCTCTGCGAGAATGTCGAAATTGTGTTTCACGCAGCAGCCACCGTCCGGTAAAAATATAAAAACACTTAAATCAAATTATTTTTTCAAAATTGTTGACCGAAACGTGTACAGAATGACATCATGATCCAATTGAAATCTCGCTTGCAGATTTGACGAACTGTTGAAAAAAGCTGTGCTATTAAACACACGCGGTACAAAACTGATGATAGAACTGGCCAAAGAAATGAAGCATCTACTTTTGTTTGTCTATATCAGCACTGCCTACTGTCATCTCGAGGAAAAAGTTCAAATTTTTTATACATTTGTGCGTGTATGTGAGTTGGTAAAACAAAAATAATAAGAAAAACAATTGTTTCGGTAGGTGTTGAAAGAGAAGACGTATCCTCCGCCCGCGGATCCTCACGAGATAATCAAGTACGTCGAATGGATGGACGACAACGTGGTCGAATCCATGACAGACAAGATTTTGGGCGACATACCAAACACGTATGCTTTCACAAAGGCTTTATCAGAAAGTCTCGTCGAAGAAGCTATGCCATATATACCAGCGATAATTTTAAGGTATCAAAAACAAATCGTTTTTGATCAAATCTCGATGTATACTATTATAACCACAAGAAGAACATGTTAAATACTTAAAAATTGATTTCTATTCGTCGCGGCCGATAGACCGAGTGTAGTTATTCCTGTTTGGAAAGAACCGCTTCCAGGTTGGACAGACAATATAAATGGACCAGTTGGACTCTTAATCGGAGCTGGAAAAGGAGTGATTAGAACGATGTATTGCAACGAAAACGGTTACGCCGATTACGTTCCCGTCGACATCGCTGTCAATGGCATTCTCATTACTGCGTGGAATTACATTTACTTCAAGGATCACGAAAAACGAGTTTATCATCTGACAAGTAGTAGCGAGTTCAAGGTATTACGTGAATACCTTACATTACACCATAAAAACTCGCGTAACTGATAAAAAAAAAAACAAAGTGAAATGTTTTGTCTTTCAGGTTTCCTGGGCAGAAATAATAGAACGCGGCCGAAGAATAACAAAACGAGTACCTCTGAACGGAGTAGTGTGGTATCCTGGTGGTAGTATGAAGAAATCGCGAATTGCGCACAACATTTGCTTCCTGCTGTTTCACATGATACCGGCATACTTGATCGACATGCTTCTTTTCCTCGCAGGTTACAAACCGATGTGAGTCGACGCTACAGCTTGCGAATAAAAAAAAAAACTAAATATTTGCACTCTCTTAATCGCTTTATTTGCAGTATGTGTCGTGTACAACGCCGCATACGAAAGGGATTCGAAGTGTTTGAATATTACGCGAACAATCAGTGGGACTTCGATAACACATACGTTTACGTTTTAAGAAATAAAATGAACAAAACGGAATACAAAAAGTATCAAGTGCACGGCGAGGATTTGGACATAGATGCGTATTTCGAAGATTGCATCCGAGCCGCCAGAATATACATTCTAAACGAACTACCGGAAACACTACCGGCCGCTCGCAGGCACTTGAGAATGTAAGTTTCTGAAAATCTATTACAAACATGGTTGTTTTTTTTTCACAAATCAGTCTAATGTTTCGTATTTTTTTCAGTATGTATTGGGTGGATGTATTCGCAAAGATCTTCTTCTTTCTGTTTGTTATATACGTGTTTGCGTCTTGGAGCGAAAGTTTTAAAGCATTGCTCGTATTCTGTGCGTCAACTTTTATACAGACAGTGGGCAAGTCAATTTCATTTAATTGCGATTAAAGTCGCTCGCACGGGACCTGAATCAATCGCATTACCGAAACAATCGTTAAACATATTATTGATTTTTTCTAAAGAAAAAGACAAATTTGTAAAAACAAATACGTAATAATATATTTTATAACGGTGCAGTGCAATTGTATGCACTAAATATGTGTAAACTATGAAAATAAAGGCATTAATACTTAATTAAATGTTGACTTTAATTTAACAAAATACGTCTCACACGGATTCTCTCTCGACTGAGTCATGACTTTCCGATCTATCAACTTTAGATCTAATGTCACCGACTTTTTCAGCGTCTTGCTGATTGCCTCCATTTTCGCACCTCCGTTCTAGCATTATATCTAGTTGTATTTTGACGTATGATTTGTATTTTGGCGTATGCAGCAACGTAATAACGATAGACGTTGCTGCATACGCCAAAAATTTGAATTCTTTGAATTTTACGCAACCAATCAGCGGAAATTCGAGAGTACATACGTGTACGACACAAGAAAAAAATGAACAGCATAGAGTAGAAAAAAAATTCCAAGAAAAGAAATACCAAGTGCACGGGCGAAGATATGGACGCAGATGCGTATCTCAAAAATGAGATACGCAGCTGTCGAACCGTCCGATTATACGTTCTAAACGAACTACTGGAAACACTACCGACTACTCGTATGCATATGAGAACGAAAGTTTCTAAAATTCCATTATAAACATGGTTTTTTTCATGAATCAGTCTGATGTTTCGTGTTTTTCTCGAAGTATGTATTGGGTGGATGTATTCAGAAAGACCTTCTTTCTGTTTGTTTTATACGTGATTACGTCCTGGAGCGAAAGTTTTAAAACATTGCTCATATTCTGTGCGTCAATTTTATGACAGTGACCACATTTATTTATTAGGATAGCGAGTATAGTCGCTTGTACCGTTCGCATTGAGCGATTCTATAAGTTTTAAACCGATAAGATTGGTTTCTCTCGAAGGAAAAAGCAATATGTAAAAAAAGACAACAATATATCTCATAACGCGGAATGCAAGCGTATTAAATATAAATGTATAAAACATGAAAATAACGAAATGACTTTTCATTTAAATGACGATTTTATTTTTTTTACGAAATTTGTCTCACACAGATTCTTGTACCGGTGGTTCATAACCTTCCGGTCTATCAACTTTGGATCCACTGTCACCGACTTCTTCGGTCTTATTGCCACCTCCATCTCCGTGCAGTTCCAGCAATTTGCTAAGTTCGAAACGTGGCTTTTTCAATACTTTCACCTAAAAGAAATACATGTTACTGCAGGTTTTTGACATTAATATACAAAAGTACAATGCATTACGAATTATTGTAATTTCTTCAAAAAACAGTCTATAATATTTAACTGTATAGTATATTATATTTACACATCTCACCTTACGAATGTAAACATCATGAAGAGGGTAGATACCCTGAGAGGCTTTCTCAATGTCTTTTGCTGTAGCGTCTGGAAGCAATTTGCTCACCACGCCTTTCAAATCGGTTTTAGTAACATCCTCCGTAATAGTCTCTACCATTTTTTGGCGAATTTTTTTAACCTAAATTGTGCGGTTCGTCAAAGTTAGAACAGAATTTCGAAAAATATTTTAAGTGTATTTCAAACAATAAAAGATCTTTCCTTTTACGATTGTGTAGCACATTCCAATATCACTACTAACTTCAATACGCAAGTAGTGTGGTAAGCGATTGCGTTAATATACGCAATATCCTGTACTATTCAATCATTGAAAAGAAATTGCAATAGACAACGGAATTGCGTAGAAACTTATGTAGAGATGTAAGGAAAAATAGATACAGACCTGCGCATGTTGAGCATAGCAAGTTTTTCTTGTACTAAGCTGATCCTTGTTTGTAAAACCAATACAGAAGACTCTGAGTAAATAGCCATCTGTGGTTTTTACATCCACATTAGCTTCAATCAAAGTCTGCCATTTTTTCACCATTGACCGAAGCTTGTCCGTTGTTAAGTCCATGCCGTGAAAATTAGTCAACACATTACGACCTTGAACATCTTCAGCAATCAATCTGAATTTTCGGAATGACCTTTCTGCATCCTGATCACTTTGTAAATCAGCCAAAGATACCTCAAAGACTCTAAATTTTAGACCCTCAGAAGCGATCTCTTCACAAAAAAAACAAATATTTCACATAACATACAAAAAATTAAAGGATAACTAATCAAGCATGTGAAACAAACAATATGCAACAAAAAAATGTCAAGAGATCATACGCTATAGACTTGTAGGAATAATCAATATGATACAAAAACTTATAATCAAAATATTTGTTCTTTAAACAAATGTATATTGTGATAAAATATTGACTTATTTTGTAAGTTTAAAAAGAAAGTTTTTAAATCATTAGAAAATGTAAAAGTTTTAGAAAACATGAAAAAACATCTCAGAGCACACAAGTTCTCTTACTTGTTCCCTGAGTTCTGTTGACCAAAGTTTTTCCAACCTGCCGGTTGGCGAACATAGACGGTGCTTTGACGTCATACCAATCTTTTCGAGTAAAAGGATCAACACTGAAATAATACAAATATATATGTGCATGTAATGAAGCAGTAATTTGTTTCAGAAGAAAAAAAGCCTTGTTATGTGTACTGGTCTCCTACTGTTACAATTGAGTTTCTTCCTCTTTCACGAATCGAATTATTGAAGATCTGTGTATATATCCACATATGACCAAACTACATTAACTAGGTTAAGATGTACACATGTTCATTGATTTAAAATGCAACTTTCATATTCTCGCAACGTATATGTCAACGTAGGTACATTTAAAAATATGTAAACTTTAATAATTCCATTAATTCAAATCACATTGCGCCAGAGAGAAAAAGATGACGGAAAACCGTAGTTTCACAGGTAAGAAGCATGACATGAACAGCGAGCATCGGTTATAAACCATGGCATCGCAAAAAACAACACCTCAATAAAGGATCTTCCAAGAAATTAAAATACTTAGCTACGCGTGAGATACAATATATTATTACTCACATCTTCTTCTTCACACCCTTTTTGCCTCCTTTCGAGAGCCCCTTGTTCTTTCCTACCGCCATGATTACAAGATTGACCTAAAAGGAAAAGACATCAAAGATTCACCATCTACACGCTTGAAACGGAAGTTACAACTCGAGTCGTGCTTCTATGATGAGAAAAGAACTGAAGTCAGGCTAAAGGCTGCTTTTCATCAAAGAACGCAGCAACGCTAGGGAATAACACGTGATCACGCGGTGGCCAATCAGCGACTCGATCTTTCAAAGTTACTATTACCGAAAGAACAGTTCGTTGATTGGTCGTCGAGTCGTTCTTCTGCATGTGATTGCACTCTGAGATCTTTCCTCGTCTCGATCACTTTTTCATCAAATATATACTGTGTTCAATTTGAGAAGAGAAAACGAATAAACAAAAACTCGTTTGTTTCGCGCATTTTTTAATTAAAAATTCTCCTTACTTCACAGCCATTAGCTGTGTTAAGGGTCGTTTACAATGGAGAGTTTTAGACTGTAACAGTAAGAAATTGACAAATCACAATCGATTATTCTTCTGTACTTTGTCTGTGATTGGTCAATTTCTTACTATTACGGCCTACTCTCCATTGTAGACGGCTCTTTAGCCATCAGCAAGTGTTCTACCAATTTCGCACGCAACGCTATTCTTACTTTGCCCGCTTTTCTTCCTTTATGCGCAGTAAATTTCTCTTCTCAAATTGAGTGCAGTATCAGAGAAAAGCCTGAGGCGTCGTCTACAATAAGAATTTAAGGCGAAAAACTTAAGCTTTAAGAAGGTACAAGGCTTGTTTCTACTATCTACAATTAACTTACCGATCGATTGCAAGTCAATTGCGATTGGTCAATTTAGTCAATCGACCAATATGATTAGCGATTCCAACGGAATAATCGACCGATTAAGTTAATCAGAGATGGTGAAAACGTGTCTTATACCCATTCTTAAAGCTTAAGTCTTAAGTCTTAAATTCTTATTGTAGACGACGCCTGAGAGCGGCCACGGCCATAAGAGTTTCTGCGATAGATCGAGATGTCCTTTTCGTGGACATGGTTCTATTCTGTGCTAAGTTTGTGGACATGGTTCTATTCCGTGCTATGAGAATACCGACGTAGTGAGGATACGCACTTGCTTGTATTCCCACCACGTCGGTGTTCTCATAGCACGGAATAGAACCATGTCTACGAAAAGTGATTATACATTCTCTTATGAGCCGTCTACAATGGAGAGTTATAGGCCGTAACAGTAAGAAATTGACAAATCACAATCGATTATTCTTCTGTACTTAGTCTGTGATTGGTCAATTTTTGAAGAAATTGACCAATATATGTATATATGGTCAATTATATATATATATGTATATTATATCATTTTATTCAACAATTATGACTGCATACGTTTCGAACTCGGTAAACCGGTTCAGATCATTCTCGTAATAATAAAGATCTAAATTAAATAAAAAAGGTATAAGAAATGGCTCATATAAATTGTAAATTACTTGTAACTCGATTTCGAATTCATATATGCAGTAGTTTGTATGGAAATTTTATTGAGTAGATTGAATTTTCTTTAGAGTTGTGTAACAAATATCAAGGAACTATTCGGTTATTCTGCTTATTCGACTTAATTTCTTACTATTCGGCCGAACATCGAATATCAGCCCACTATTCGGCCGAATACCGAATAGTTTTAAACATAAAAAAATTTTCACACTCGATAAAATATATATATCTCCATATATATCCATATATATATAAATGATTTTTTTCTTAGTTATAGAAGCCATAATTGTGTGTGTACACTTGTCACAAAAATAATAAAATAATTTTAGTAAAAACAAACGATCTTTTACGTCGCGCGATCTAATTGCTACATTAAACGAACATACTTGTCACAACATGCATAATGATGAGAAAAGACGCGGTTGAAAATGCCGCGGGTCAATCGCATTAATTTTTATCCATGCCTAATATTCATTGAATATTCGATTATTCGGCAAGTAAGACCTTGAGCAAAAGAGACAAAATATTAAGAATAGGAATAAATATTAAAAATAAGAAATTTACATTACTTCTTTACAAAACAAGAAAATAAAATAAATTAATGCATCATAAGTTAAAAAATAAGAATTTGGAATACTTAATCTATTCCGTTCTTTTGTTTAATGTAACATCATTTCAAAAATTCTTTTTCCAAATATTTCATATGTATTCTTATTCCTAATGTTTTGTCTATTGTGCTCAGAGCCTAACACTACCGAATATTCGATATTCAATCGATTAGATGCCGAATATACTATTTGTTGCATCTCTAATTTTATTGAATGAGTCAATAATGAAGATTTTTAAACGCAGACGTCTAAAACGTTGTTTATTTAAATTCATACACATATGTGTCATATATGTATCATTTGTACGTATGCAATCACACAAACTAAATGTTGCAAAATTAGAAAATTGGCCGAAATCAGAGGAACTCAAATAAAACAAATATTCAGACTACAAACCAGAATGGTGACGCACACACACAATTACGTTTTTATAATTATTCAATATAATACAATACCGCTTTTATACGTTTCTTCAGTTGCAGCTAAAAAAAACCACGTGCGTTATATACATAAATTATTTTGATATTTTATATATGATATTAATCAAACAGTAGATAAAACTTGCGAACGATTTACTATGAGATCAAAAGCGTCAAGTATGAAGTCATCAACGGAGTATAAATAAAACATTTTCACTTCCTGATTTGCCATCAAGACTGAGCAAAGATAATTCCAAGTCAAAAGTGAACTGGTGCTTCACAGTGTACGAACAATCGTTCAACGCGCGTGATATCGGTCGCAACGTTGTACACGTTTATTTCTTTTCGTGGTAAGTACGATAATTGGTTCGACGTCTTAAAAGAAACTGCTACAGAAAATCCTTTGTATCAGATATAACTATTTGCTTAAACATGTAGATGAGTTTTGAATAAATATTTACAAAAACGGAGCTTCGGAGGTCAATGATCTTGACATATGTTGTCGAGGACACTTTCCTGAACAGCAATCAAAAGGTTTTAGCCGTTGCTTGTTGTTTGTTAAAAAGTTACAAACAAAAAAAATTGCGTCAATAAACCCTTATTTTCCGATACCATGTACATTTTGTATCATTTTTCTTTTTTAATATATGCAATATTTTACAATGTCATGCCTGTTGTATATATTGTAATACATTCTAAATATTATTGGAGATGTAAAAACATCCAAACAATCTCAATAGAGATAATGAACAAATGACCAGTCTATTAATGGCAATTTATTCTGCAATAACACTCCCATCTACCCCCTCTTCCGTTACATTACGTTACCCCCCTACTACTACACCACCTTCTCCATAATCTGGCGCTATAAAAAAGATACCTGTCTAAGAGGATCTTAGTATCAAACTGCTATTGAAACCCTGATGAAGTGAGAATTTCACGAAACATCGGTATAAAAATGACACTAACACGGTTCAAACCCGAAAAAACATTTTCAAATGTTAATTTTTTATTTTATTTTAGAAGACAGAAAAGAATAGTGTTTTTTGAAGAAATCTTTGTGTGTTGCAATGGATCAAACCAAAGTGGACGATGTAGCACCGGACAGAATAGCCGAGACCTTCGTTGGTCGTCGAATACTGGTGACAGGCGGAACAGGATTTTTAGGAAAAATTCTCATCGAGAAGTTTCTGCGATGTTTGCCTGAGATAGCGCAGATTTATATGCTAATCAGAACGAAAAAAAACAAAGATCCTAAACATCGATTGGAAGAAATATTCAATTCTGCGGTATAAATTCCAATTAAATATATAGTTTTTAACACCTAAAACATGCGGAAAAGAAGAGTGATAAAGAGAGAGAGAGAGAGAGAGAGAGAGAGAGAGAGAAAGAAAAAATTCTTTATAAATTTTATATTAAAAAATTTTAAAGTGCAAGAAAATTCTTTACTAAAAAACACCGTAAAAAACATGTGCAAAATAATACTTACTTGCTCGTTAGCAACTTTTATTAACAACATTAACTTTCCGAACAACAACTTGTACATCGTACAATATGTTCTTGAGATAGCTACTTTATAAATAATTATATTGCCGCATGTGAGACTAATGAAAGCGATTTGAAATGTTCCGTATAAAATATATTATTTACAAATATAATTGTCGTCTAAAATAAGTCACTTTTGTTTCAAACTCTAGAGAGAATTATTATCTTCTAGAAAGATTCTAAAAAATTCCATTTACGTCTCAATGTCTTAACAAGCGTTAAATCATATATCATATTAATGGCATTGACATAAATCTCAGAAATAATACATATTATATCAAGTTGTATAACAACCTACCAAGAACATTTCTGAGATTTGCATAATTAGTCAATATTTAATTTTTCATTATATTGACGTAAACATATTGCAGAGATAACATTATTATATAAAGAGACTTTTTATTACTTAACTCACAAGGTGTTGGATTGTTACTACAATTGACTTGAAACTTACAGATTTTTGATAAAGTTAAAACTCAACGGGGATTATCGGCGCTTATGCAAGCGGTAACGGTTGTGAGCGGAGACGTTACGTTGCCGGGACTCGGTTTATCGCCGGAAGATCGAAAGATGCTCTGCGAGAATGTCGAAATTGTGTATCACGCAGCAGCCACCGTCAGGTAAAGCAGTACAAAACTACTGATGAAGAACATTACATTTTTTGTCTTTATCAGTGTTGACCAGCCACGTGACGTCAATGTGTACAAAATAAAATCACAAATCGATTGAAATCGTTTTGCAGATTTGACGAGCCGTTGAAAAAAGCTATACTATTAAATACACGCGGTACAAAACTGATGATAGAACTGGCCAAAGAAATGAAGCATCTACTTTTGTTTGTCTATATCAGCACTGCCTACTGTCATCTCGAGGAAAAAGTTCAAATTTTTTATACATTTGTGCGTGTATGTAAGTTGGTAAAACAAAAATAATAAGAAAAACAATTGTTTCGGTAGGTGTTGAAAGAGAAGACGTATCCTCCGCCCGCGAATCCTCACGAAATGATCAAATACGTCGAATGGATGGACGACAAAATGGTCGAGTCTATGAAAAACAAGATTTTAGGCAACGTACCCAATTCGTATGCTTTCACGAAGGCTTTAGCGGAAAGTCTCATCGAAGAAGCTATGCCATATATACCAGCGATAATTTTAAGGTATCAATGACAAGCGTTTCGATTAAACTTTGTAGAATACGTTTAATCACAAAGCACACATTGAATTTACTTTTAAATTTGATTTTTATTGGCCACTAGACCGAGTGTAGTTCTCCCGGTTTGGAAGGAACCAATTCCAGGTTGGACAGACAACATAAACGGTCCAGTTGGACTCTTAATTGGAGCTGGGAAAGGAGTGATCAGAACGATGTACTGTGACGAAAACAATTACTCTGATTTCCTTCCCGTTGATATCGCTGTCCATGCCATCCTTCTCGCTACGTGGAATTATATTTACTTGAAGGATTACGACAAACGAGTTAGTCATTTGACAAGTAGTAACGAATTCAAGGTACTGTGAATTCATATCGTAAGAATACATGTCATTGATGAGAAAATTAAAACGAGATTTTCACAAGACATTACTGTCAGATTCCCTGTGGGGAAATAATAACACGCGGCCGAAAAATAATACAACGAATACCTTTAAACGGAGCAGTGTGGTATCCAGGCGGTAGTATGACGAAATCGCGACTGAAGCACAACATTTGTTTCCTGCTGTTTCACATGATACCGGCGTACTTGATCGACATGCTTCTTTTCCTCTTGGGTTACGAACCCATGTAAGTCGACGCTACACAGCTCGCGAATCAAAAAAAAAAAAAAAAAAAAAAAGAAAAAAAAACGAAATATTTGCATTTTCTTAGTCGCTTTGTTTGCAGTATGTGTCGTGTACAACGTCGCGTAAAAAAAGGATTTGAAGTTTTCGAGTATTATATGAACAATCAATGGGACTTTGAGAACACACACGCTGACTATGTAAGAGAGAAAATGAACAGCACGGAGTACAAGAAGTACCAAATTCACGGCGAGGATTTGGACATAGATGCGTATTTCGAAGATTGCATCCGAGCCGCCAGAATATATGTTCTAAACGAACCACCGGAAACACTACCGGCCGCTCGCAGGCACTTGAGAATGTAAGTTTCTTCTATAAAAATCCATGGTTTTTTTTACAAATCAGTTTAATGTTTCGTGTTGTTTTCGCAGAATGTATTGGGTGGATGTATTCGCAAAGATCTTGTTCTTTCTGCTTGTTATATACGCGTTGGCGTCTTGGAACAAAAGTGTTAATACACTGTTTACGTACTGCGTGTCGTACTTAGGATTGTGATCGATTGTGTTTTCCGGATTGTGACTAAAGTCTCTTGTAATCAATCGCACGAGATCTGTGTTGATGGCATTATATAACGTAGTACTGGTTAAATTTGAAGATAAATATATATTGAAGTGAAATCAGAATATGTGTAACAATAAATCTCATAAAGTGCACTACAATTGTGCGTACGAAATATATACAAGATATGAAAATAAAGATGTTACTGCTCAGTTAAATGTTGAGTTTATTCTCGAGAAAATTTTTTTCTACGAATTCTTAATCCGTTGTAAAGTTTATTTCAAGATGCTGTATGGGCCGTCTCAGTGGCTACAGAGCATCATGAAGATGAACTTAAAACAATCTTAAATATATGATTTGACTTTGAATATCTGCCTGAAGATTCAAAAACTAATATATAATTATCTAGAAAGATAACAAACATGATGTTCTTTCTCTCTCTCTTTCGTGCTACTTACTATTTTACAATGTTTTGAAGTTTCAACTCAATTTCTTTTGCCTGCGTCTACTTTCTTCCAACAATTTAGTTTTTTAAATAATTTATGGTACTTACTTTGCAGATCTTTAGTCCGTTTTTCTTTAATGTTTTTTTTGAATTGACGTCCGCAGCAGTTCGCGGTATCCACTTATAGAAACGCAACAAGTATAGCAATTGTTTGTTACTTGATAATAATAGCAGCGCAAAAACCGTTACCAACCAAAAAAAAATCTTACTTGATTATTACTCCATGGTGCTCCGTAATAACGCCGCTGCGTCATTGAAAAGAGTTTCACGATGCTTCTTGATTTACATCTATGAATAATTGTTTTTTTTTTTTCACAATTTTTCACTCTAACATACACGTGTAGTCTCTCTTTACGTAGTTCTCTGTTTTATATACGCAGAATTATGTAGCTGCAGCGATGACGCGCGACATTTTATTTCTCGCGCGCGCTTTCTCAGGACGCAAAACAATTTCATTGAAAAACACGTCATTAGCGAGTGATTTATCAGTGAGTGCGCGTCACTAATTACATTTTAAACGTCTGATACATTACGACTATTAATTTCTTGCATGCTTGCATGTAAAATGATAATAAATGTGACAAAAAAATTACAAGATCGAACAAAAACAAACGTAATTCTGCTCTGCGCCGCGTCTAAAACTATTCGCTCATGTCAAGATGTCAGTGTATCGCGCGATATTTCGAATCGCATATTTTCGACACGTCCGACAGAGTGCGCCTTTGACTATATAAAGCCCCTTGCACAATGGAAAGAATAGCGATAACCATAGAAATAACACAGTTTTAGACACAGAATTCCAACTCGTCGGAAATTTTATCGCTATTGCTTATTCCGATTTTGTGATCTGCATTGATACATGTGTATTTTTGTATGTTAGATTCCGCTGTTCCTACCTTTATTTTTAAATGAAAACTCTTTAAAACTTTTGTTATTTCTATCGNTATCGCTATTCCGTCCATTGTGCAAGAGGCTTAACTGGGTGCGGTCAAAGTCTCACTGCAAATGTTTTGAAGCATCGTTTTATTTTTTTTTTTTAGTCTCACGGTGCTTCGCCATGTGATGGAAATTAACAGCACCTTTGTCGTTTAGAAAAAGTGAAACATAAAAGTGAGACAGATATAATATACGATGAAAAAAAAACGAGACGTAAATAAGTCGACGAAAATTGCTTCGGGTTTCAATCCGATCGAAAAAATCCTGGTTTGCTGAACCAGAGAGAAGCCTGAGAGCGGCCAGGTCCATAAGAGAATGTGTAATCACTTTTCCGCCCCGTAAACTAGCGCACGTCCACGGGTGGTACACATTGGAACTACGCAGCCACTCCACGAGCGACATGTCGGTACGCTATGTCCACAGCGTGCGGTTCTATTCCGTGCTACGTGCACGAGTTTAAATGGTCACTTTCTTTAAGTGTGTGAGTATATTCGAGAGCGTGAATTTGATTTATTTCAAGAATT